TTGGACGAATCCATCACCGCCATCGAGGTTGCGGAGGCAATAGCCGCAGTTGGTGGTTGCTCTCCGTCCGACATCAAGGTCGGGGAGATACGCAGAACCGCAGCCCGATTGGGAACGGTTTGGGTCCGGGGCCCACTTACAGCAGTACGCCAAGCTGCGGCCGCCCAACGCGTGCAGGTGGGCTGGGCGTCGGTCCGTACCGAAGCGTTGGCACCACGGCGCTTGCAATGTTACCAATGCCTTGAAATGGGACACGTCAGGGTAAAATGCTCAGGTCACCCTGACAGGAGTGGGCGCTGCTTTCGCTGCGGAGAATTGGGCCATAAGGCCCGAGACTGCGCAGCGAACGCACCGAGGTGTCCGGTGTGCAGTGACCACGGGCGGCCCGCAAACCATCGGCTGGGTAGCAAGAGCTGTTGCCCACCGAAGAAGCAAAAGGAGGGAGAGGTCCAGCCTCGCCCCGCCTTTGCCCAATCTGGACAGCCAGTGTCGAGTTGTAACTCGACGGGAGAGGCAATGGAGGCTTAACATTCCCACCACACGCAAGGGTTCTCCAGGGCAACCTCAACCACTGCCGAGCAGCGCAGGATCTATTAATCCAGACGCTCGCGGAGCAGTCGGTTGCCCTGGCAGTCATTGCAGAGCCCTATACCGTCCCGGACCATCCGCGTTGGTTCGGGGCGGTCGATGGCTCAGCGGCCATTTATTGGCCGGGTGGGGAAGGCTTCCATTGCTCTCTCCTAAGAAAGGGTGCTGGCTTCGTGGCAGTGGAGTGGGGGGTAACAGTGGTGGTGGGGTGTTACTTCTCTCCCAATCGTGGCCTAGCCGAATATGAGGCATACCTGCACGGGTTGGCAATCTGCATTCGCAGCTACGCCTCCCGTCCGGTATTCGTCCTGGGTGACTTCAACGCCCACTCAAGGGAGTGGGGTGACACTCGGGACGATGCGAGGGGAGAGACTATCCTGGAGTGGGCGGCTGGACTGGACCTCCGACTTCTAAATCGGGGCTCAGTTAGCACCTGTGTGCGATGGCAGGGGGAGTCGATTGTTGACCTGTCATGGGCGACTCCCTCTGCAGTGCACATGGTGTCGGGATGGCGAGTGGCGGAGGAAGTGGTCAGTCTTTCTGACCACCGGCACATCGTACTCGATGTGTCTCTCCGCCGCGCTGACCGCCCGCGTCAGGATAGAGAACCTCCGCGACGATGGTCCCTCAAGCGGCTTGACCGAGAGATGGTCGTTGCCGCATCCCACGTGGCGGATTGGTTGGAGGAAAGGGTTTCGTCCGATCCAGAAGAACAGGCGGCCTGGTTTGGGAACATTATGGCGTCCGTATGTGATGCCTCAATGCCCCGAGTCAGGCCAGCCAGGAAGGGCTCGGCGTACTGGTGGAGCGTGGAGATCTCGCAGTTGAGAACGACGGTCGCGAGATTGCGCCGCCCGTATCTTCGAGCCCGGAGAAGACGGCGAGCTACAGCCGAGGAGATTGAAGTAGCACGGCGGGAATATGGCGCTGCTGTAAAAGCTCTCAGCGATGCAATCGCTGAGGCCAAGGCTCGGTCCTGGAAAGAACTCATCGGGGGACTGGATAGAGACCCTTGGGGGCGCCCGTACAAAATTGTACTGGGCAAGCTAAAACCATGGGTCCCTCCATTGACTGAAACCCTGGACCCGGAGTTCCTGGGAAGAGTGGTAGACACGCTCTTCCCAAGGGTCCAGGACAGTCCCTTGATCTCTCCGTTACAATCGGACCGGCAACTCTGGTCCGACGAGTGTGAGGTGACGGAGGGAGAGCTGGACCGAGTCGTGCGGCGACTGGCTTCCCGCAACACTGCGCCCGGACCTGATGGTATTCCAGGTCGGGCGCTGGTGATAGCTCTGTCGGTATTGGGGGACAAACTGAGGCGGATTTTCACAGATTGTCTTAGCCTCGGTGTGTTCCCCCTCGGCTGGAAAGAAGCGAGACTGGTGCTCTTGAAAAAGGAAGGTAGAACTGCAGATTCTCCCTCTGCGTTCCGACCGATTTGCCTGCTGAACGAGTCGGGGCAACTCTTTGAGAGGATTATCTCCGATCGTATCAGCGGGCACCTGTCGCGAGTAGGCCCTGATCTGTCGGACTGCCAGTTTGGATTCCGACGGGGGCGTTCGACAGTGGACGCTATCAGGTGCGTTCGCTCCATGTCGGAGTCGGCAGTCCGATCAGGGGGGGTGGCTTTGGCGGTTAGCCTTGATATCGTCAACGCGTTCGGCACCCTCCCCTGGCAGGCGATAAGGGCGGCTCTTGAATTTCATGAGGTGCCGCTCTATCTGCGGGCCGTCATTGGGGCCTATCTGCGCGATAGGACAGTGAAGTTTATCGGTCGGGGCGGGGTGGAAATTCGGAGACAGGTGTGTTGCGGGGTTCCCCAAGGCTCTGTTTTAGGCCCTTTGTTGTGGAACCTAGCTTACGATGTGGTCCTTCGCACCAGTCTGCCCTCTGGCCTTAGTGTTGTCTGCTATGCAGATGACACTTTAATACTGGCTAGAGGGTCACACTTCGACGAGGTGCTTCGGCTCGCCGAGCATGGGGTGGCTTGTGTCGTGGGAAAGATTTATGAGCTGGGTCTGAGGGTGGCGCCTCAGAAAACTGAGGCGATATGGTTCCATGGCCTACGTAAGCGCCAGGAACCACCCAGCTCATGCCTCCGGGTGGGTGACGCTGAAGTCCAGGTGGGCCGGTACATGAAGTACTTAGGCCTCATCCTGGACAGTCGGTGGAGCTTCGAAGAGCATTTCGTGCGATTAGTCCCCCGAGTGCGCGGGGTAGCGGGTGCACTGCATCGCCTGCTGCCCAATCTCGGGGGACCACGGGAAAAAGTTCGCCGTCTCTATATGGGGGTCGTGCGATCCATGGTCCTCTATGGGGCGCACGTCTGGTCTAATGACTTGGCGGGTGCCTCCCGCTGCAAGGCTCTACTCAGAAGCCTACAGCGGTTGATGGCCATACGGGTCGTACGGGGTTATCGTACCATCTCGTTTGAGGCGGCGACGGTCCTGGCTCGATATCCACCCTTCGACATTCTGGCCGACATGGACGCGATGGTCTATGACCAAGTCCGTTCTGTCGGTCGGAATGGTGAGGAGGCCGCGCCGGATCATGAGCCCGGAATGCTACGGCGGAACGCGCATACGCAGGCTTTGCGAGCGTGGCAGGCACGGCTTGTAATCCAGGGCTGTGCTAGCCAACGCGCCGTCGGAGCCGTTCTGCCGAGCTTCGAAGCGTGGGTAGGGAGGAACGACTGTGTCACCTACCGATTGACTCAGATGCTTACCGGGCACGGTTGCTTCGGTGAGTATCTGAATCGAATTGGACGGGAGGCCACGGCACGATGCCACCATTGCGGGTCCGACCGGGACTCCGCCCAGCACACGCTGGAGGACTGCCCTGCATGGGAGTCCGAACGTCGAGTCTTGGTCGGACAGATCGGACGAAACCTGTCACCGCCAGCATTAATCGCGGCAATGCTGGCGAGTGGCGAGGGATGGGCAGCCGCGGTCTCCTTCTGCGAGGACGTTATGCTCCAAAAGGAGGCCGCAGAGCGGGATCGGGAGAGGGCCGATCCCGCTCGAAGGAGGCGGCGAAGGGGACGCGGCAGAGGTCGCTAACTCCCCAATCGCCGCCTAAGGGTCACTGCGGCCACATCTTGGGGCGATGTGACCGCTGTAAACGACCCGAGACGGATGACACTCCGGTGCGGCCGGGGGGGTGTCGTCTAAGGCGGGACGCCGTTGCGCCTTTTACTCTGTAGAGCAGTGAGAGGCGCGATAGCGTCCTGCCCCAGGGTGACTACGGTCACTCCGGGATGTGCCTCAGACATGAGGTACGGCAGGGAGGACTCCAGAAGTCGCCGATGCGTTCCTGGAGCCCCTCCCGACTGCCGAGGAAGGCCGCCGCGGGGTTTAGTGGGTAGACCGGTTCTCCGAGAGTCCCACACACGCCCTGCGTTTCCCCAACGGAGGGTATGGTGCGAAAAGCATTCCCCGCGTGAAAAAAAAAAAAAAAAAAAAAAAAAAAAAGGACCGATACATACACCTGACTGCAAGACGTCAGCCGATGCTAACCGCCCGGGAGATAGGTTTAAAGCTACAATTCTCAAGAGTTGCTGTTGTTAGCCACCAAACCATGCGAATAGGCTGCCTTGGATTCAAGCCTGGTACGATAAGTGTAACATGTATCGTCATCCCGAAAATGCTGAACGGCTGAGATGCTTTGCAGTGGCTCTACAGTGATGGCATGGACGGGTATTATGAAGAACAGACGAACTTAGCTCGCTTTTGTAGATGGCAATATGAATGTTGAAGATGTCCTCGGGCCTTATGTTCACCCATTTGCACAAAGTCTTAGCTCAGATTTCACGCTGATGCATGACAATGCGCGTTTGCATACAGCTCGAAGGACCAGAGAGTAGTAGGCAATGGAAACCATCCGAGTAATACCGTAGCCTTCACAATCACCAGTCCTCAATCCCATCGAACATGCATAAGTCATGCTCCAGAGACGTGTTCTAGAGAACCTGGACTGAGTGTCGATAACCCAACAACTGAAAGACTTGTTACAATTCAATTGGAAGCTATTGCCGAAGGATCAGACAAACAATGTTTTATATTTAATTCAATGAAAAATCATTGCCGACAAGTTTTAAACAACAGAGGTGGTCACACTTTTGTATTGAATGACCAAATAATAATAAAAAATATCGTTATATAACTTTGTAAAGTATGAAAAGTTTGATTTCGTTTTAACTTTATTAAATACTACGTATGTTACGTACACATATTGTTAATTTTTGTGATTAAATGAATAATTGAATAAAGGATTTCGTTGCTTTAGTCACAAATGCATCAAAGAATGCTTAGTTATTGTTTATAAAATAAATATTTTACAATAGTAAAAATCGTTCAAGAGTTTAAACCGTACATACGTTGCTTAAACTTTTTTGATGTGTCTACTATACGGTATTATTCTGGCTTCTTTTGCGCATCTTCTATCCATAAGACTATTAAGTATATAGCTATTAATAGTAAAGACTTTAACTTAGATTATACTAGGTATTGAAAATTATGTGACATTAACTTTTGTGTGACTTTATGTGACAAGACTGCGACTTACCTTGCTCCAACTCTGGAGTGTAGATGACAGCCTGGTGCCAGCCTCGCCATAATGCATACTCCAATACGAAGTGCAACGGAGCTAAGGCAGATTCAGGACAATATGCATATCCACTCATAGCCCGTGTACCAATGACCGCGTAGAAGAAATAAAAATTAACAACTCTAAAATAAAGTAACATTTATGATATTCTACTATTTACTGAGGTAAAACATGAAAATAAAGAGGCCAATTTGTAATGATTCGATAAGCAATATTTTTAACAAATTCAAGCTTAGGAAGTATGTTGTTTGCTTTTACCTCATTGTCGGTCGTCTGTAACAAGACTTCTAACTGACTTCTGTAGTCTTGAATCCATTAAATAGTCGTAGATACCAAGGGACTACATACAAATAGACGATTCATAAATCATAATTACAATGGATTAGAGAGACAATGAATATGTAGGCATAACGTCCATTAATTATTGAATAATCCATATATGCTGTGTGAGGGGTGACGGTGATGTAATGAATTTTTAAGTAGTCTTAGACAAATGTGCAAACAATGGCGTATTTCTAAAATTTAATAAAATAATGATTGAGGTTTCGGTGGTACATGTCAAATATACCGAAAGTATCCATATAACTGGTGTTATGATACATATCACAAAAAATGAAATAACAGATAACACGGTTTTACTCGTATATATACGTCGATTAAAATAAAAAAAAGAAATTAGTACGAAAATATAGAAATGCAAATTTAGAATGAACTAAATACAATAAAATAATTTCCGAATTAGAACACCATTGATAACATGAGTTGGTGAACTGTACACGGCAGCGTCGCAATGTCGGCGACATCAAAGCGACGCCGCCGCCACCGCCGCGACGAGCCGGCGAACTTTACATTCTTATTACCTACCTACCTACTAATCACTTCACTTGCTTTTTTAAATCTATTATTAAGAATACGATTTTATTCACGTGTTTATTTTGGGAATGCTCGACTAGCTTCGGACCCGGCAGTACGTGTCACTCCTTGAAAAAGTAGGTACTTTGGTTGTGTCGTAATCCGCCCTTACAAAAATTCGGCAGTCTGTAGGACATACACGATTTACTTCATACCTGTCCGTAAAGCAAAAGATGCGTTTTGATAGAGTTCCCTATAAATTAACATCATGGCAGGATATTCCGCGGCTGTGAAGGTCACTCACGGCATTATGGATGTTGATACCGTTAACCCAATAATTTAAAAGACTGATAATTCACTCAGTTTCACACTACACTACACACAGAATCTAATATTGTCACTTATAATCACAAAATCACAAATAAAATTTGTAGGACTCGTTACATTACGATGTCTTGCGCACACGATAACATTAATTGTTCACACCATGCATTGCATTGCATTATTATGACGAAAGCAATAAGACTAAACAATTATTACCACAAGAAAACTTTTCTAAACAAATATGTATCTCATAAACAACAACAATATTATTATTACGGTTGTTTGTAACAAAAACCAAACAACGTACGTTAACCTGACTCGCACAAGGAAGTTGAAGTCTATAAGTGTAGAGTTAGAAATTTGGCTCTACATGAGATCTGATAACTTTTGCGTGCCGTATGGTCTTGTCTTGGCAGCATTTTACATAAAAATGTTTTTCGTGGGATTTCACTTTTTGTAAGAGTCGACTAAGGGAACAAACTACGCAGGACAACAGCATTGCAAAGAGAAAGAAAACTTGAAACAAACTTTATACCAACCCGTCTGGCCAGCGTGTTATAGTAGGCCAAAACCTCCTTTCTAAGGTGAGGCCTATGTCCAACAGTGGACTACTAAAGGCTGTTGATGATGAAGTTGCTTATGCCAACATATTTTATTACTTTGTTACCTTTTTCCGGTGTTATTTACAACACGGAGTCCCTATATCAATTTTCAAAATTTCACGACATCTAAATTTGCGGAAGTTCATACAAACTTCCAAACCCTAGTTTAAGGGTTTGGGGAGTGGGGGAGTAAAAGTTCCAAGTTATAGATTTTTCTGTTGTTTGAGTACTATTGTTTCTGTACCGAATTTCAGCTTTCTAGGACTTCAGGAAGTACCCTATGAATTTTGAAGATCATCAGTGAGTCAGTGTTTATAAGGTATCAATAAAATCTAAAGTATAAGAGCTATGCTATTGAAACTTTATATATTTAATAAGTCCACTATTTCTATGATATTCTGAGAATTTTGTTTATCTGGTATAATCCAACCCCAAGTTATATGGGTTAAAATAAAACTACGAAACGCTTCGAGACAAGTAGGTAGTACCCTTGCGTTTCGCTTGGCTCGTTTTGGCGGGGCCACTGCCGTGCCCCGAATGTGCCTTAAAAAAAGTGAGCTTTACTTACACTAGTAGTCGTACGCACGAGTCATTACAATTCGGGCGTCTTTTTTGGTATAGGGGTTTATAGGGGCGGACAGGACACCTAATGGTTACCACGGGTTGTGACTCACTCACTCAAAGCAACTAAAGAATTGCTGAACATCAACATGGTCGAGACAACCCATATGTGCCAAATTAAAGCATGACTCTCTCACGTTGGGGTAGGTTATAAAATAAACACACACTGCTTAAATTTTTGTTAAAAATTACATATATAGGTTAAAATCCAGGCACATTAAATACTCACCTTTATTGTCTTCCTACAAATTTTGATAGTGTTAAAAAACATGTATCATAAACATGGTGTAAACGTGTTCATCGAGTTTTGACTTGGTAGTCCAACAATCCTTTATCATCTAATTTATGACAGTTTTTTACCTTCTTATATTTTACAGGGTACAACGATGGCTCCCATAAGTTTCACAGAGACAGAATTAGAATCTCCTATGCACACTAAGGAGTGGATTGAAAACAGTACCATATCACTTACCCATCGGGCTAAAGAAAGCAATAAAAATGAATGCAGCGGCACGGGACTCCACATTGATAACTATGATAAAATGTTGCGGCCTGAACCAAGTTTCTTAAAACCCATACGAAGATTGGAAAAACAAATGGGATTTGTGACGCCTTTACGATGGACAAATATAATAGCTATATTTGGGATCCATATTCTTGCAGTTACTTGGGGAATACATTTTATGGCTGTCGGTAATACTGTAAAGCTGTCAACTGTGTTATTCGGTAAGTACGTCAAATTGTAAAATTTTGGTGTAGTGGTTTACGTTCCAGACTGCTAAGCCAGAGGTCGTGCGGTTCGATTCTCACCCAGGACAATCCTTGTGTAATCAGCACAGATCACTTGTGGTCCTGTCATCATCATTATCAACAGCCTTTATCTAATAGTCCGCTGCTGGACATAGAAAGGAGATTTTGGCCTATGTCCAGCATATTTGTTCTGTGAGTGGGAGTAATAAGTATGTTTATGTGTAAAAAAATAATTGTGTAACGGGTTGACGGTAATAGGCTTGCAGCCTTTTACGTAAGTAAAATTGTAGATACGTGAATAGATAGAAAACTCTTTATTTGTACACAGTTTTACAAGAAATATGGTACATAAAGTGTCAGATAACTGTACTAAAATAGAAGTCGGCATAATGGAGGCGTTTTAATACGCCTCTGTTTGTCCACAAAGACGTGCCTGTATGAACGTAGAATTTAGTAAATACATCAAATATACCAGTGTGTAACAGAATAATGGTACACTTAAGATTTAATTCATTATAGTTGAACCTATCTATCGTCGATTATACTTACCCTTTTTTTTTTCTGTGCGGAAATCCCCTCGGATACCACCTATCGGTGGCATGTCGGACTCGAACCGACTAAAACCGCACGCCGTCTCGGGTACTAATAGCCGGGGAACCAGGTATACCCTAGAAAGGAAGTCCCTGGTGCCCCGACATACCTCGGGCAATCTACAACAACAGGTAGACGACCCCCCCCCCCCCCCCGTGTGGGAACCCCATGTTCCCTCTGCTCCCTGGAAGCGAGCGCGCTTCGCAACGCGCTCGCCGCCACCCCGGTCTGCTTCTGCTATAAGACTCACTAAGAGTTATGCTAGATGTTTTTATGTGTCTCTGTTGTTGATTATTGCAAAGTCATGCCAGCTAAAGTTCTTCATACAAACTAAGCATTCATTGAATTACACCTAGTACCTAGTAGGTAATGTCTAATTTATGCTCTATAAGAGCATAAATTTTATCACAAGCTCAATATGGGCATCGAACCCGAGACCTCAACACAACAGTCGTATACCGCTACGCTACCACTGCACCACCGAGGCAGTCAATAAATATCACCTTCTGGATGGATGGAACCTATGGATATGACCATGTTTCCTCTTATTGTCGCGAATTGAACTGGCTCACTATTCGTCAGCGCCATCAGCTGCGCGTCCTCACCACCCTCTACTCCATTCTCAACTCCCCGATTTCCATCGAATCTTCATTCCAATTTCTGTGTTCCAACCACGACAAGACCCTCCGCTCATCAAACAATCCTCTTCTGCTATGCCACCCTCCCACTTCCGCTTGTGTCCACTCTTCGTTCCTAATCCAATCCGTACTCCTCTGAAACGCGCTTCCTCTAGAAATTAAGCCTCTCATTCAAGACGAAAGTTCGAGCTTGCATTCTCGTCAATCTAGAAGATTCATTACAAAATTAAAGTATTATATATTATTAATATGTAAGTTTATGTATGTATGTAACTACGTATTTCTGTATGTGTATGTATTTGGTACGTTTGTATGTATGCTTTTCAATAATTTTCTCTTACTTTACACATCAATGTCTAGTGTAAGTAGTAAGTCCGCTTGGGTACAACTCGTATTCTATTTCTACTAATATTAAATTCCCTAAGTGACAACATGAAAGACTAAATTATAGTTGACAAAATGTTCGTTTTTAATACGCCTCTGTCTCTGGTACAAAGATAAATGTGCGATGTTTACGATATTACTTATTTTCTCTTAAAATAGGCTATTTCATGGGTCAAGTATCTGGATTTGGAGTAACTGGAGGAGTTCATCGTCTGTGGTGTCATCGATCGTACAAGGCAACACTGCCCCTTCAGTGGATTCTTATCATATGCTACTCGGTCGCTGGTCAGGTGAGGATTAATTGAAAGTTAAAAAAATAATTATCACGTGTCAAGTCATCGTCAAGCTGCACGCCTTCCCCATGGTAAACGATTTTCACCAATATGTACAACAGATGGCTGAAGGTTCTTTCTAATCGTATACTACTAGGTAAAAATATATGAATAATAATGTAAGTTTAGTTTATTTAATGTCAAATTATAATGTGATAACAGTTTGTTACTAAACTAATACGTTCTCTCTCATCTATATAAATATAACCTTTAACTTTAACTTGCGTGCACAGAATACCATTTACGAATGGGTGCGAGATCACAGGGTACATCACAAATATTCGGAGACGACGGCTGATCCGCATAACGCCAACCGCGGATTCTTCTTCTCTCACGTTGGATGGCTCATGATGAAGAAACACCCTGACGTAGTTGATAAAGGATCTAAAATGGATCTCAGTGACATCGAGAACGATCCTGTGATTCAATTCCATACTAAGTAAGGATATTTTTTTACTTATTTACTTAAATTTTGGGGCATCTCTTCGTGAAGTTTAGTATTAATATTTTTATGATACCACATTATTTAAAAAGGTGTTAAATATTTATATGAAAAATTCAAGACTTTCGTCGTCAACTGTCGTGGCAATCACTCGCTGTTGCAACTCACAATCTAATTAGAAAATATTTTTTTCATTTGATATCCAATTATGTGGAAAATCTATTTAATACCCCGATGTCCCTTTGCCTATCCTATGAATCGTTTTATGTTACAGGTATTTCTGGTTCTTTAAAGTGGCCTGCTGCTGGGTTTTACCGACGTTGATCGTCGCCACCTGGGACACCTGGGAATTAGCTTTTATGTCTCAATGTGTCATACGCTACGTTTTGAGTCTCAACTTTACATGGTCTGTCAACAGCTTTGCACATCTCTGGGGCAATAAACCATATGACAAGTAAGTTTATATTTATAAGACTCGAAAGTTTAAAACAAACAATAAATAGTAAAATCTTACTTAGTAAAACCACACTGTATGTACACACGTACCTACTTCACGTAAGTAACGAGTTCACTACTGACTTCATTGGAAGGACGATGTAAACTACGATGCATGGTTTATTTCTTTTGCATAAAACATTTATTACCGTAATGTGTGTTAATTTATACATTACTATATTTTTTTATATATTATGTTCATTCAAAATTATCCATTGGCTTCCTTGCAGTCTCTTAACGTTGAGACCGGTTATTAATAAAAACATTCTCTCTATGGGAAAATTCTTTACTGCCAATCCTCTAGACTGTTTTACGGACTTTAAATTATCGTTGCGTTTAGAGTAGGTCATACTCTCTAAAACAGACTATAAATCATAATTTATAGTCTGTTTTAGAGAGTATCGATCTTCAATAATATAATATTACTTAATAATAAGAAAAATCTTGTCAATAAATATAATTTTTCTGTGACCTTCCTTTGCTAAGCTAAGCACCGCTAAAGAAATTTTTGCGGTTCTACGTCATTCTTAAATCATAAGTTAAATAATAACCAGTGCGCTTATTATAGATATTTTAAAATTTGCGACATAGTTCTATAATAATAATAATTGACTAACTGAAGCCGTGACTAAGTAGAAAAGTTTTATTCACCTTAAGTTCACCGGGGCGAACATTCACGTAAACCTACGATTCACCCTTAAAACAGCTGTCACAAAATCAACACCTCAAATCATTCTGATATGAGGTGTTCCACCTAGAAACTACCGTCCTGCCCAATTTTAATTTTTAAATGAAAAACCGCTTCCATTTGAAACAAATAGTTTTACTCTGTGATTAAATTAATTTACTAAAATTAGTCCGTGAAATCTGTTCATCTGACATGTCCTATCTAGAAAGTATCTCTCTGTCAAAATATATTCGTAACTCTCTAATACTAAAAAACAAGAACTCCCAGCGGATCGCCAGCTTCTTGGGAATGCAAGAGCCAGGCGTTTATAGTGTTTCCACTACAAACCACCATGACGGCCGGTCTCAGGCACCCTACTCTTTGGAGGACCCGAACCATGTGATTTTAGGTCCCCTCAGATCGATGCTATTCCGGCCCTCTCTCGGCCTCGTTCAGCGGTTTCCTTCTCAAGCATTACAGCTTCACAGAAAGAGACTACTGCGCTCCAGCCCTCCTCATCCGCCAGCATGACAGTAATGATTGCAGGCGGGGACGGGTCTCGCCCAAGCAGAGCAATCCTCCAGCATATGCTGGGTAGAGCCCCAGTCAAATATGTATTGCCCTTATGTGCCGTTCCGTCCTTATGTGTCGTAGGATCCTAATGGCCGCTACCACCCGCCGCCTGATAGAAAATAGTTCGGCAGCGGAAGGAAAATGATAGGACCCAAATCCGGCATTGTCGCAACTTTTTATCTTCATAGGTCAAGTAGTTTTACAAATTCTATTTTTAGTCAATAGTTGAGTAAACAATCAGTGAAGAGCGATAAATAAAATTATGTTTGAAAAATGTGGATGTGTAACGCGTCTGTGCCTTCCCTTTTACGAAAATATACATGAACATATTATGTAGTTTATAATGTATGAGTGAGTCCATAACCTTTCGCTTTTATATATATATTATATATATATATATATATATATATATAAAATAGATAGACTTCGAAACGATTGAAGAATCCGAATATATTAAATTAAAATCATATAGGTGCTTAGAATTCCTTACAAATAAATATTGGTAGCAGTTAAGTTTTTTGATCCTTACCAATATTTGGACAAGTTTTCTCCTAACCTGCTTATTACGGAGATCGGGGATCAAGAGGGGGTCTTGGTATAAGATTTTAAGGCATAATATTGTTTGGTGTAACGTTCGTATAACTTTTCTTGGCATAATAAAACTTTGGCTGAATGCAAACTTTTATTTGGTTTAATTTATGTTGACATAATTTGAAGTTACATACCTACATTTTCAAGGCATAATTAATACATGGTATAAGATAGCACTACGCCATCCAGACTGTGTGCCTTACCCCAGCAAAATAATGTCGAAAATGGTCATTTAAATGTTATAGATAATTAGTTGCCCCCCTTCTGTAATTGTTAGGCACATTTTTAAATTTGTTTCACATATTTTTTTTTTGTTATTTCAAAAAAACATTTCCTGCTGGGGTACCGTTTGAAACTGTACCGCAGCCAGGCATTTTATTTTTTAATTGGAATATTGAAATAAATGTTAGATAAATAATTAGTTATCTGGACGAGGTAAATGTTACAACTTATTTGGAATTTGTATTTTCTTCGGCTGCCAAGTTATTCGAGATCCTGCTGGAGTAACGTATGTGGGTTTGCTGGATCTCTGAAACGGGTAAGCGGATAGTAACCATCTTTTGTACATAACTTCTTAAGGATTAGTTTTAATTTGTTCGACAATAAAATAACAAAAATAATGGACCGTTTAAAAATTATTTAGATAAGTATGAAAACACTTCAATACGTCCTAACACTTTGAATAAGACCTCTAAAGATTTACTTCAAACGTTATTCTATTGCTTGTAACTACCTTCAAATGTATACGAATTTTCGTAAGTATACTGTAAATGACTAAAAAGTTATGATGAAATGTAGCTCTCCACGTTCACGATCACAATGTGTGCGGCTTTTTTTTGGCCACCGATAAACCTGTGTGTGGATATATAAACTGAATGTTATGCTAATAATTAGTTGTTTAGTTCAGTTGTCTACCTGTAAAATTTCAGCGTCGTACATATAATAATTTACGAGATAATTAAATAAAAGTCATTAGAAGGTGCAAGACCGTGGTAACCCGACCATGTTTAGGTGGTTACAAAAAACGATCACCCAGTACATTGTGCTGACTTTTAAAATATGTAGGATATTATTTGCAAGTTTACTACGGATATGTAATAAGTGTTACAAAAAACTACATGTTTTTAAATAATTTTTATTTAGGATTGTTTATTGCATAATTAGTAATTAGCCGGGAGATTAGGTATTGTTTTCTCGAAATGTTTAGTTGAATTGGTACCTGTGTAGTATTTGTTATTTGAAGTTTAATTTTAGGGTAGGTATAGGTAATGTAAGTTTTAAAGAGTGTAACGTATGCGTTGTAAATAGGTATTTTGTGAATAGATTGGGATTTTTTTAAAGTGATGAATCGACTAAGGCTAGCATATCGCGAACAAACTCTGTATTGCATTATTTCTGTAATAATGTTGGAGAAAAAAAAAAGAAAGAAAGAAAAAATCGCGGTGAATTAATTTAAAATAAAATAATAATTGTGTAAAATTAGTAAAAAGTGATATACCTACCTACAAGTTATGATCGTTTTTAATTTGTTAACCCAAACGAAATTTCAATATTAGCATTAGTAATTAACATCCTAAGACAAGAATTCGCAATTACTTAAATTGAATCTAATTAGCATGTATGCCCATTACTAGTAATTAGGTACACACATATTGAAGAACTCTCAAGAATACGATAAATATTTTCAAAAATAGAAACCGGAAGCGCACACGCACTTTACAAGACGTATATTATCTGCCTAAGGGTCAAGTTTAGTGCACTAGATGCAAATTGCAAACAATGAAGTACCCCTTCCCCCCCCCCCCCTCCCGCGTTCTAGCTCAGGATGTATTATCGGCGATTCTTGATTAACAAATATTATCTGAGAAAATGTATCACTTTCACTCGATAAATTAAATTACCGTTATTATATCAAAATATCATTTAACAACTGTTCGTTTTTAACAAAAATCAACAGTCACGGGCTCAACGCGTAGCGGTAGGTACATAGGTATAGATAGTTCTCGGTTCTCGGTATAGACCACATAACAATATTACTCTTACGAGGTATACGACTGTTGGGCGATGCAATGTTGATGCATTCTAATTTACAACTGTATTCTTCTACAATTATGGTCTATTTTAACTTATTGTAGATGACTTGTTGATTTAAATATTTTAATGACTTCAAGTCTAAGCTCTATACCTATACCTATACCTCAAAATAAATACAATTACTTCAGTGTTATTTCTTTACAAAAAAAATCAAAGAAATGAAACGATTTTTTATTGGTTTAAATTTTCGATTTCTTGCAGTCAGGTGAATCGTTCATACATCGTATCTACATATTTATAATTTTAGCGGGCCAGTGCAGATTTTATGTTGATTGTGGCTCCAGTAGTTAAAAAGACTAAAGAAATTTTAAGTAAAGAAACTAATGCTTAAGATCCATTAGGAAAAAGAAACAAAATAAATAATAGGTACTAATAATGAAAAAATATTGAATGTACTTAACACTGTACGCAACTGTACCGAAATCGTAAGGTGTATTACACTAAACATTTTAAAAGACAGCGCAATGTACTGGGTGATCGCTTTTTTGTAACCACCTAATCGTGGTCGGGTTACCACGGACTTGCACCTTTGCACCGAAAATTCGTATACATTTGAAGGTAGTTACAAGCAATAGAATAACGTTTGAAGTAAATCTTTAGAGGTCTTATTCAAAGTGTTAGGACGTATTGAAGTGTTTTCATACTTATCTAAATAATTTTTAAACGGTCCATTATTTTTGTTATTTTATTGTCGAACAAATTAAAACTAATCCTTAAGAAGTTATGTACAAAAGATGGTTACAATCCGCTTACCCGTTTCAGAGATCCAGCAAACCCACATACGTTACTCCAGCAGGATCTCGAATAACTTGGCAGCCGAAGAAAATACAAATTCCAAATAAGTTGTAACATTTACCTCGTCCAGATAACTAATTATTTATCTAACATTTATTTCAATATTCCAATTAAAAAATAAAATGTCTGGCTGCGGTAACGTTTCAAACGTTTCAAATGTTTTTTTTTAAATAACTAAAAAAATAATAAGTGTAACAAATTTAAAAATGTGCCTAACAATTACAGAAGGGGGCAACTAATTATCTATAACGTTTAAATGACCATTTTCGACATTATTCAGCTGAGGTAACGCACACATCCAGACCTCTAAAATCGGTAGCTTAAGTAAGTATTGCGACCGACAACGCGAGTCGAGCAAGCGGCAGCGGCCGGCTATATAGTGTCTGAACCTGTGTGAAGTGTAGTGTCTTACATTGCAGTAGTGAACAAATTATGCGTATTTGTTATGCCTATAAATATAATTATTGCGTTTATAAAATTATGCTAAATATTGTTATGCCAACAGTATTCGTAGCAATAAACTATGGCAACAAATTTATGCTTAAGTAGGTGTACCCTGCCACGCTTCGCTGTGGTACATTGATGAGAAATGAGGAACAAATTTGACGTGAAAAATATATTAAAATAGAAAAAACATTTTACTCTTTTTGAACTTAAAATATTTTTTTTTAAACAACTCCCGCATTTGGAATATATCCTGTGTCGCCAGGGACTTTACAAACATACATCAAACGGACACAAAGAACATCCAGACTCAGAACAACAATTTGTGGATCACACAAAGTGTCGTCTCATGTGGGGCCCGAACCCACAACACTCAGCGTAGTAGTAAGCGGCGTGGCGACCGCTTAAACCACTACACCATCCGTGCAATCAAATTATTTTCTACTTTTAAAAACTACCAAAATAAAACACCCTTTTGTAGTAGCCAAACCAATTTTACGAAAGAAAGATTTTTCTTTTTTTGAACTTATTCTTTCGTATTTTTAAACTGATTTATTCCACATAAGATAAAGATAATATTATGCTGTCATGATCATTATGCTTTATTTTATTTATATCAATGTAAATTATGACAATCTATCTATGCTTATCATTAGTAAAACGTTTCTTACTTACTAAAGTGAAACATTTTTATGAACCATAAAATTTAAATTTAAATTCCCTAATCACATTCATCTTTAGCAACTGAAGCAATAGTAATTATTAATCAGGTGATTTTTAACGATTAATATGTGATTTCAGAAATATAATGCCCTCAGAAAACTGGGGCGTGTCCGCCGTTGCTATGGGTGAAGGCTGGCACAATTATCACCATACGTTCCCGTGGGATTATAAAGCAGCTGAATTAGGAGTGTCTTTGAACATCACATCATCATTAATAAATGGTTTCGCAAAGATCGGATGGGCATACGATTTAAAAGAAGCCTCGCCAGCACTCGTCCAAGCTGTGGCAAAAGCGCGGGGTGATCCTGAACATCATCTTTAGATCAATTATTATGTAATCTTTGTTATGACTACAGGGCAAACTTCCAAAGGCAATTAACCCGATGCTTTACTTTAATGGGACTCACCCACGGTAGCTTTTTGCAGCGATACAATGGCAAAACGCCCACGCAACTGTCCATGGCAGAGCACCTACGCCACCGGCCACGATTCATCCATACCGATGTTGTCAAATGGCAACTCCTGTACTGTAATCAAACTAATCAATGTATACGCTTCAGTTGCAAGGCAATGTAAATGCTATTATATTGATATGTTTATATTAATATGTATACCTATGTATACGAATACATGTTACTACATGACATAGATCGTAGATAGTAAAAGTCCAACTATTGGCAATTGTGATGTTAGATATTATATTTCTTGTAACACTTCTTGTCCATTCATTAAGTAAAATATTTATTTAATAATCATATTATAGAAAGCTTATTTTTATGTGTGGTATTATTTTTATAGGTGTCTATAAGTATATTCATAAACACGATACAGTAAGTGCATAGAAGTTGCATAAAAGTTGAACCTGATTAATTCTCAAATCTGCCTCGGATTAATAACAATAATACTGAATAGTAATTGGGCGTTTAGATGGCTATCTCACTATCATCAGCCCTTTCACCATACATTGAAAAAAGTTGCGACCAAAAATGTTGGTTCGTCCGTCTTTGGGTAAAAAAATTGCCGAAAAAGCGTTGCCGCTTCTATTGCCAAGGCTATAAAAAGAATTGTGTCATGACCAAGTATTTATCAGATATGGCTCTTTGAATGATATAAGTCGTAAAAGAATGACTGTAATAAACAACAGTGGATTCTACATAACCGTGATGTCATCTCATGGGCTAAAAATACACATATTTCGCACAGTTTGTAAACTTAACGGATCAGTTAAAAAAATAAAACTGGGACACGTTTTGCGACGCATTGACCACTTCTATTGTCAGTAGGGGAAATATATTGTAAAACATATTACTTTTTTTCGGCAGTTGTTAACTTGTATAAATGTCTTGTTGTATAAAGTATGAAGACAAGCATAACTTTACGATGGACGAAAAAAACGGAGGCGGTTTTAAAGTTAAATCGTATACTTGCTTTTTTCTATTATTATTATATTAAACTTCTTTTATTTGATAGGACAAACTTCGGTGTTGCTCCCGTTTCAATAAAAAAACGGTTTACAACAGTCAACCAGCTTAGTACGTTTATTATGTCTTTAACAAGCCTTTTATTTGAAAAACTTGTATTAAAGAAATAATAATAATGTTTAAAATGATAGAAATATTTTTTATTGATGTACATAGGTACCTAAGTATCACAGATTGAAAGCCATATTGATAAGTTTCAGGTGGTAATTTTTATTTGTTGGTATTTAAATATTTTAATCAAGTAATTTATTAAGTTACATTGAATAAACATTTTAAATACATTTTGTTGATTATTTTGCCTTTTTTTAATGGGGTAGATTATTATATCCAAAATAAACTATTTGTATTAACTATTATAATAAATATATTTATATATATATATATGTATTAGACTTGCAACGAATATTCGGTTACTATTCGGTATTCGGCCTATTCGGCTGCTTTTATTATATTCGGCCGAATACCGAATATCTACATATTATTCGGCCGAATACCGAATACTTAAATAATATATTTTGTCATTGAGAACGTAGGACAACCAGCACGGCAAAGAGAAGGAAAACTTGACACAAACCCTATACCAACCCGTCTGGCCAGCGTGGTTTAGTAGGCCAAAACCTCCTTTCTAAGGAGAGGCCTATGTCCAGCAGTGGACTATTAAAGGCTGTTGATGTGATGTGATGTGATGTGTCATTGAGAAATAATTGGTAAAATGAAAAATTAAAATCGATTGATTACGAATATATTCATATTTTCATTTCTGTTATAATCATTTAAGTAGTCATTGGTGCATAACACAGGTACATAATCATGTTCTGAATTGGAAAAATGGAGGATTCTATGTATTTGAATTATTGTGGTAATCAAAATTTAGAAGGGTAAGGTTCTCATTTCTTTTATAATCATTTATTAAGTAGTCATTGGTACATAAAACAGGTACATAATTTAATTCACGTCTGTACAAGTTTTGTGCGCTAAAATCCAGCCGAATACTTTTGCCTAATATTCGGCTATTCGGTCAGGGGCCTCGCCGAATATTCGGTATTCGGTATACTGCCGAATATACTATTCGTTGCAAGTCTAATATGTATATAAAATACAGAAAAAACTGTCGCGTGCGCTTGGCATCGCGTTTCACCGCCACTCCGGCCTGCTTCTGCTAGGGTGACACCCCCAAGCCTGCGCTTGTGGAGGACGGAGGTCGTTCTGCGACTGGCCCGTTCCCGGGCCTGGCGGGCCGGGAGAATTCTAATCCTCTCCTGGTCCCGCGCCGCCATCTCCTTCGCAAGCATAACTTGCTCGCAGAAGGAGATAAAATGCAAAAAGTTGTAGGAATACTAAAAGCGGAAAGAAATCAGTCCCAGGTATCTCGGCATTTTGTGAATACAACATACCTACACTAAATTTTCATATATATATGCGACTGTCATAATACCAATTTCTTTAAAATTATCCCTCAGTGACTGTCTATAACTGAGATTATAAATTGCGCTAATAGCACTATTTTGCAACACAAAAATACTCTGAATGTAAACAGCATTTCCCCTCAACAAAATACCGTATGACATTACACTATGAAAATAGCTAAAATACACTAGTCTAGCTGTTTCTGCATTGGTTAAGTGACGAATTTCATAAACCGCGTATGCTGCAGAGCTGAGTCTATTCGACAATACATCAATGTGTGGGCCCCACTGCAATTAAGTCTAGAGTTATACTCAAAAACTTAGTGGTGTCCTCAAGATCCAACTCCTTTCCATTTATCAGAACACTGGTTTTTATCTGCTTTACATTAGGTGTAAAAATACATTAAGTTTTTTCCCGTTTAAAAGTAATTTATTAACTTTGAACCAGTTCACGACCTTGGAGAGATTGTTATTCACATCGTCAGTAACTGATTGCTGTCGTTTCCATTTAAATAAAAGTGAAGTGTCATCTGCAAATAGCACTATCTCCTGATTATATTTTATTAGATTAGGCAGGTCATTTATGTAAACCAAAAACAAAAATGGGCAGTGAATTGAGCACTGCGGACCCCTCATAAGACCCCCAAATAAGAGATAAAAAGATCCAAAGCAGTATCCCTTTTCAATGTTTCATGAAAAACGCAATCGAATGCCTTAGACAAATCATAAAACACACCCAGCGCATCCCGTGTATCCTCCCAGGCACCAAATATACTTTCCAGAAGTTCAACACCAGCATCACTTGTCGAGCGACCTCTTTTGAAGCCAAATTGTTGCCTGTGTAGAATATTGTTGTTGTATTATTTTCTCAAAAATTTACTGAAAGTAGGTAACACTGACATAGGTCTATAATTTGTAGGATCAGACGTGCTGTCCGATCTTACTATGCTTCATTAGGTCAGGAAATACACCACATTCAAAGCACTTATTGAAAATTAAGGCGAACTCTGATGCAACTACGCTAATAATTGACTTTGTTATTTGTACAGAATTATCCCAAAAGTCGGCGGTTTTCTTAACACCAGCATTGAAGGTTTTAACAATATCTCTATCGGTGATACAACTAAATCTAAACTCAGTATTACAAATGTTAATATTCTCTTTCTATAAAGATTCTGAATTAGTGGGGGACGAATTCAATGACTCTGTGGTCGAAACTGGAATGTCTGTGTTTTTATTTCAAAAGCTGTGGCAACATCTATCTATTTAATTTCTTTACTATCAATTGAAAGGCCGTAATTATTAAATTTTTTCTTTGCTTTTCCAGTTTCGGCATTAATTATTTCCCAGGCTTTTTTAATTTTATTTGAACTATTACTAATTTTAATAAATCAATTTTATTTTATTAATATTAGATTTTTAATAATTAACCTTTGCAGCATGACATTTTTCTTCTTAATAAATTGGAATATTGTTTAACATATTCACGAAATTTCATACTAGTGTTATAATTTCGTTCTTCATAAAGCTCATTAAGCCTTGTTTTACTTATATATAATTCTACCGTGGTCCATTCACTGAAGGTTGTAGCACCATTAACTGACAACTTCAAATTAGTAAAAGTTGATTCAAATTCTGAAAAAGCATTATAGAATTGATTAGGATCATCATTATAACCCAAGCCGGTCAGTTTACTGTGCAGTTAATTTTTAAAATTTTCCATTCGAGTTACAGTTCTAGGTAATATCTCGTGTTAACACCATTTTGTTTTTTATAGCAAAAGCACACATCTGTCCAGGAAGTGCACCCTTACAATGGCTCCACAGTGATGGTATGGGCAGGTATTATGAAGAACAGACGATCAGACCTCCATTTTGTAGATGGAAATATGAATGCTGAAACTTACGATGAAGATCTCCTCGGGCCATATGTTCACCCATTTGCACACAGTCTTGGCTCAGATTTCACGCTAATGCATGACAATGCGCGTTCGCACAGAGCTCGGAGGACCAAGGATTACTTGGCACTGGAAAACATCCAGGTATTGCCGTAGCCTGCACAATCGCCAGACCTCAATCCCATTGAGCACGCATGGGACATGCTGCAGAGATTTGTTCTAAAGAACTTGGACGGAGTGTCAACAACCCAACAACTAAAAGACTTAAATTGCTAACAACCTTATAATTTCTCCGAAAAGTTTTAAACAATTACAAAATAATTTGAAAAAATGTCGCTCCCGCTGCATGTTGCCCAGATTTTTTTTATGAGTGTATTTGTATCTGTCTATTCATTTTGTTTTACTGCCCTACAGGGCCCCAAATTATTGTGTCCGCGGCCGCGGCATGGCCTAAGACGGCCTTGACGTTAACATTACGCAGAAATTTGTAAAATGTATAACTACAATGAAAGTCGCCAATTCGTAGTCCAATATTCAGTAAGTGGTAATGGTCGCGCGGTCGAAAAGCGGAGAACCGCGCGGCCATAGCACTTAAGTTCTGGATCGTGAAGTCCAAACATTAGGGCTTTATCCGACCTCTACTAAGCTCCGTTTAAGAGAACTGCGTGTATTAGATCTAAGAATTTGCGACTTTCATTGTTAGTGTTTACAAATTCTGTCGTAATGTTGACGTAGTTATGTTTTTTCTACGACACCGTGTACAAGTAGTCGAAACGGACACAAAATAATGATTGCGTTGACTTAGAAGCTAGATTATTTTCCTATCTTTGCACTGAACTGCAACTAAGGTTCAGACATCCTGTCCTCCTACCTATCGATTCACCAAACGTATACGAAAAAGAGTACAAACACAGACTACGGTGAGATCCCCTATCAATCCCGTAAAAAACCGAAAGTACGGTTCATATTTTAATAATAAAAAGTGTTTCAACTGTTTCTTTATTACGATATATTTACATATATATATATATATATACATTCAGTCAAAAAAGTATCGGGAATGGATGATTTGTTTATGGTTCCAAAAGTTCAAATTTTTGTTTTATTTTTGTTGTTGTTAGATTGGCACTACTGTTTTCCATTTTGGCGCGGACTTTGAGTTGCATCTGTTATTTATATTAAATACAGTGCTGTTTTTAGTTATATCATATCTAGTGTGTAGTGCGAATTTCATAAGGGACAAAAACATCGAACAAAGAGTTTGTCTTAAATTTTGCATCACCAGTAGAATTTCGTGTTCGGAGTCACTGAAAATGTTACAGAAGGCTTACGGTGAATCGACTTTATCAAAAACACGTGCTTATGAGTGGTACAAAGCGTTCAAAAGCGGTCGAGATGTGATGGAAGATTTGCCTCGCTCTGGTAGTCCATCAACGTCTGCAACTGAAGTTAACATCACAAAAGTGCAGGAAATGGTGACTGAAAATCCTCATTCAACTTTGAGAGAGATAGCCGCCGAACTTTCTGTATCTCACGAGTCGATCCGTACCATTTTAACTAATCATTCGGGTATGAAACATGTTACTGCTCGGCTAGTCCCAGAAGACCTGAATTTTCTCCCAAAACTCAATCGCATGAGAGTCGCTGAGGCCATGCTAGAACGAGTCAATTCCGACTCAACATTCATGAAACTCATTGTTACTGGTGACGAAACGGGGGTTTACGAGTTTGACATGCAAACTAGTCAACAAGCTTCGGAGTGGCGCCTTCCAACTGAACCGAAACCGAAAAAAGCACGCCAAAGTCGATCAAAAGTCAAAGTGACGTTGACTGTTTTCTTTGACTATCGCGGTGTTGTTCACTCGGAATTCATGCCGGAAGGTCAAATGGTAAATAAAGAATATTATTTGAGCGTTATGCGGCATTTAAGAGAGCAAATTCGATGAAAAAGGCCAGATTTGTGGCAAGAAAATTCTTGGATTTTGCACAGCGATAATACGCCTTCGCACAAGGCCATCATTGTGAACGAACTTTTGACCAAATTCACCAGATAGGTATGGCTCCAGCCGACTTCTTTTTTTTTCCTCAACTCAAATTATCACTTCGTGGCACACGTTTTCAATCGGTAGGAGACATAAAGGAGAATTCGCGGCGAGAACTGAACTCAATTCCGGAAACAACGTTTAAAAAATGTTTTGATGATTGGATTATTCGTTGGTGTAAGTGTATCGTTTCTGAAGGAGCATACTTTGAAGGTGATAAAATAAATTTGGATGAATAACAAACATTTTGTGTATTATTGATCTTTTCCCGGTACTTTTTTGACAGAGTAGTATATATGTAATAATAATAACAAGCCTTTCATAGACAGCTTTCCAAATCGTTCTAAGTAAATAAATCACAAGTACAGCACCAATCGACATTCTAATTTGATGAATATACAATAATTAATATATTTACATGGAAAAGTCTATACATATTAATTACTTTTTAAAAATCATGATCTCGGCAAATTTAAACAATTATTCAACTACGCGTTTATCTTTTACTTTCAAAGAAATTGACAAAAATAAATATCTTTAAATCACCTCGCAACTAAACAATTCACAAAACAAAATACAAATAGATAAATATAAATAGTAAGCGGAGGTAGGTACACGTACGAATGACAACTTTTTTGTCCATTACTATAATTTATAAAAAAATTGAGCCACTGCAGGATGTCTGGCAGGTCAGAAACTACGGAACTATTTTATGATGATAATGAATATAAAATCACGTCGATAATCAGCGTGAGAGGCACAGAACCACTTGCGCATGGCGATGCGCCACCACACCCTATTACATGTTACATTATAATAACACATAACTCGAGCGACTCGTCGTCACGCTTACAGCCAGACTTTCCGCATTAAGTGTTTCACATCAAAAACACTTGCTGTGCCCAAGGAACATCGTTTAAAGTAGGATTTTAGGAATCTCAGATTCAACAATACTAGCTTTCCAAGTGATTATAATGCCTACATACACATTTGTCTGGTGTGATGATAATAAAAAACATGCTTTATTTAAGCAGCAACAGGTTTAAAACCACAGAACTCCCTCATATACAGTATTTAGACTTGTTTATACTTCAGCATCAAACTTTGTTTGTGATTTATAAGTACCTTTTATTGCTATTGTTCAAGTAATTGAGCATTAATTTTAGCTGTCATGGGAATTCCATGGCAATTCCATGGCAATTTTCATTAAATTAGTCATCCGCTTAAGAATTCCTTAACATATTTTAATTACAGATACAATATATAAACACAAAGCAGCAGTATGTAACTTTAGTAAAAATAAGTAAAATTTACATTAACAATATTTTTTTTTTAAATGAGGGAAATGTATACATTTACCAATTAAAAGGCAGTTCACTTAATTCATCATCACTGCTTTTGTAAACACAAGTACATATTTTGAAACTACTTAAAATTATTAGAAGCGTAAGGACACTTTACAATTATTTATATTTGTGATGTATCAAGAATATTATCATTCACATATTCATTCTAAAAATAAATAAATGAGATTATTTACTGTCAAAGAAATAGGAGAAATATACTAGTGACTGGTAGAACACATTACACTGAAAAAGCATTAGCTCTTTTTACCAAATATTATTGTGTGAGAAAGAACATCATCCCTCTGCCACACATTTTTTATACAACCAAGGAAGCTACAAGTATACAGCACCACTGTTAATCTGGCTCAGCTATCAGTTCTCCCAAATGAAACCATATAGGTTGAACACAAAAATGTCTGAATAATGGCTGTTACATATCTTTATGCAGAGCTGAATTTGCAAATTTAAAAAATGCAACTAAGACAACACTAAAATAGTGCTGGACTTCCCAGTGACTAGTGAAAATTTCTTTGTTCTATTATTGTACTATTATTTTACTTGAAACACAATGAATAAAATATCACAGACAAATTATTCATTCTTATCTTCATGCAATCTGTAATTATGTTTACAACCCTAGTAGTGAATACATGTACAAAAATATTATATCACAAATATTCTTATACATTGTCTAAAAATTGTGTCATGCAGTGGTCTCAACTAAAAGGTAAACACTACTAAATCAAGCATTTCTTTGAGACAAAACAATATAAATCTAATTATTTTATATTATTTTTTTATAATTAGTGTTGATTTGACTCAAGATCTCCCATAAAAGAATTCTAGTTCCAGAGTAAATGAGTACTGTAACTAAAACTTGATTAAAACTTAGCTTTAAAATGTCTAAAAATCCTGGCACTAAACTTCCATATTCAGTCTTCAATTAATGTAAAGAGGTCTTTCTTGAGTGCACCATAATTTTCAGAAGATACAGTCTCTATTTTATTATCTGTACTTATTTTAGCTTCCTTCATAGGTCTATTATTCTCATCTTTAATAGGTTTCCTTTTCAAGCTAAGAACTTTGTTGGAGTAAATACCATCACTCCCATTTTGATCACTAGAAGAAACTTTTCTTTTTTTTGTTTTAGTCACAACAAAATCTAAATCTGAGGAATCATCATCAAAATCAGCATATACAGGTACTGATCTACCACTTCTAGTAGATCTTATGGGTTGAATTCTTGTGGTCTCTTCAATAATTTGTATTGGTGGAGGCCATTCTGCAAAATGTGCAGATTGCCTTGCTCGGTGATATGTATTTATAGACATCAGTTTAATGTAAACTGCAAGTGTGCGAGCTTTTTCAGCTTGTGTTAAAGTATTGGGTAATAAACTCCATGGCATGCGTCTATCCTTCACATTCAAATACCGCCTCTTCATGGAATTTGTTGTCAAGGAACTGCAGGAACTGTTCTCTCGCTGTAACACAAATATTCATTCATATAATTGAAATACTTGTTTTTTTGTATAAGGGAGCAAACGAGAAGACGGGTCACCTGATGGTCAGCAACTACCACCGCCCATGGACACCTGCAACTCAAAAGTCACAAGTGTGTTGCCACCCTTGAAGTCCCTCCCGCTCGAGTCAGCGGTTCACTCAGTGAAAGGCAACAAAAGAATTGCTTAACACCAGTTCTGTGAGGCCATGGTATCACTAAGGTCAAGCCGGCCCATTCATGCAGAACCATGGTTCACATCATCACACATCAACAGCCTTGAATAATCCACTGCTGGATATAGGCCTCTCCTTAGAAAGGAGGTTGTCCCACGTTAATTTAATTCTCCTTCTGTTAATTTAAGAAATGACATTGCTAAAACTTATCATACATAACTCAATTAAATACTAACTGTGTTACGAGCAACTTCATCCTCTTTTTCTGTAGATTTTGAATTTTTTAAGGCTTTCAATAGATCTCTCATTTCATCTTTACTTAAGCGTTCGTCTTCTAAACCAAAATCTAAAAAATCAAATATAAATTTTAATATTAGAACTGTATTGAATAACATTTATCAATATATGAAAGCAATTCACTTAGGATTTAAACGTATAATCTAATCAATACTTTGCATTGCATTAATAAAATGTGATAATTGTAGGTATCGAGTAAATTATTTAGTTATAATAATTACCGATCAATTCAGATTTCATGGATTTCATTTCAGAATCGCAACTATCATCAGATGATATCGCAGCGGATTCCATTTCTACTTTGTGGATTTACAGCAATTATTTAGTACACTTTTACTCCATAATCATACTGTTACATGAGAAACTGTTAAAGATAAACAGAAAGTAGAAACCAATCAAAATATGTACCTATGCTCTTATTTACAAATACACAATGTCAAACTGACATTTGCGTTGTATCAATAATAGTTGAATATTTCTTGATGTTGGTAGTAGCCTTTGGTAGTAGCTCACAACTCGGCAGAACCTCTCTGCAGTTAGAGCCAGTGCACACGGCGCATGGCGTCTTCGTTGCATCGACGCAGTGCTACCGCTACGTCGTTTTACATACTAATAATCATAGTATAGACACGGTGCGCTGCGTCGACGCAACGCAGACACGACGGAACTGCAGCCCCCGAGACGAAGCAGGCGGGGGTGTACACATTGTGACGACGGAACGGCAGCGCTCAGTTGCTTGTGCGTTGATAGGGAGGATACACGCAAGCCCATATCATTTTTTACGTATTTTTGTATTCAGTTTTATTTGCAAGGTAAAATGAGTACCACTAAAGAAATTGGCTTGGATTACTCATTACACTGATTCAGGAAAGAAAAATTATATGGGACAAGTCACATGTAGATTTTAAAATCAATTTTTTTTATACAAAAGCTTGGGCAGATATATCAAAATGTTTGTTGCCTATTTACGATAATTTCACACCGGAACGAAAAAACAAAGTTGGTGAGTTTACAGTATATTTCAAATATTTTATTGTATTTTTTCTTACACGCTATTACCTATATCTTTTTTAACTGCCATGGCAGAGCTCCTCTAGTCATATAATAGGTCGCGAATTCCTCTCTTATGACATTCGGTGCTCTCTGTTCTTCATTAGCAGGTTGTAATGAGAGAAATTCAGCAATACTTATGGCAAATTTATCTCTTTGTCTGAAACCATCTCGATCAGAGACAAAATTGTATAGTATAGGATACATCTATCGCTCTGTGAAAAATGCGCCATTTGTTTGCCATAATCCCAAAAGCGCATTCGACATGTCTACTGGCCCTGCTTGATAATTGAAAACTTTTTGTTGTACGTCGAGATTTCGACCACCATATGGACGCATAATATTTTTGCTTAGTCCAAAAGCTTGTCACCCATACGGGGTTGGTCTATTGAACCCAGAAAGTGGGGATAAGGCAGTGGTAAGTTGTTGTAAATCAGTAACTCATACAGTTTAGTATTTTGAAACACGGTTGAATCGCATTCTTTCCCGTATGCACCGATATCGACAAAAATGAATTCGTAATTTGAATCCACAACAGCTAGCAATACAATCAAAAAGAAAGCTTTATAATTTAAAAAAAGCGAGCCACTATTTGTAGGATTACACACGCGAATGTTGCGATGTTTTCCATCGATGGCACCAATACAGTGAGGAAAGTTGGCATTTATTAAATCCGTTATTGAATTTCCACTTCCCATGTACCTCAAACAAAAACAATTATTTTAATGATTATTATTGTGTTATCACACGGTTTAATTTTTTGAATATCGACTGTTAAAAATGAATAGGGTATAAGCGACATTTAGGACTGGTATTGTTTTGAAAGCCGACTGTTTCTTGTGCTCTATTATTCTTTATACAACCACTGCCATTTTCACTTTTACCTTGCGATGTGAAAAATGTTGCTTAGGCTTCTTATTTAATATTTTATTTTGTCATATTTGATGATTGGAAAATTAAATGCTATTGTTATCAGCTACAAAAATCACTAAAAAAAATAGCGTCAAATCATGTAAACTAAAAATAAAGGTAACTGCTCCATGTTTTTATGATTCTATAACTGTTTTAGTTTTCACGATGTTTAAAAAATATACACCAGTTTTTCAAAAATTCAAAACTTTGAACGGCACCCCTGAACATTTCTGTTTTTTCGCTTATACCCTATTTCCTTTTAACCGTCGATGTGTAATTTATTAAATATTGTTTACTATTGGATTTTCAGGTAATGATTTAGTGAAGAAATTGAGAAGTGTCCAATATAATGTCTTCAGATACTTAAAAAAAATAAAAGAAACATCAAAATTGGGCTCGGGCTCTACGAATGTGAAAAAATATCATTTATATAACTAACTTTTTTTTTGAGAAAAGTGGAACAAAATAACAACGACTCGAGCTTAGACTCACCTAGAGACATCAACACTGAATCTACATCTACAAATGAAAATACTTCAAATGAGTTTCCATGTTATGTTCCAATCGCGCTCAAGACAGCAATGCAAATAGATGAGTTTGAAAGAGAAGGATTAAAAATTCTCAAGGGGCCGGAAAATCGCCATTTGTCTTTTTTTAAAGGAATATTGCCATCAATAGAACTTTTTTCCGACCGAGAAACTATCACTTTTCAAATTAAAGTGTTACAAATTATAATATATAAATATGTGTATGGCCCATCAACGTCTCAACAACCATTATCATATGGGTATCAAACAACAAATTTTCAAAGTACATTATAATTCTGATTATAATAGTTCAAGCATCTCAAGCAAGTGAAGAAACCGAATACGATTTTTCAAATATATAATTACTTGATAAAGGTTCTCTAAGCTTAAACTTATGACAATTGCTGACTATTTGTTAGTTGATTATATTAATTAGTTGATTATAAAATAACCTCCTTTCTAAGGAGAGGCCTATGTCCAGCAGTGGACTATTAAAGGCTGTTGATGATGATTATAAAATAAACGGACCAAAATTTTTTTTATCTTTTCATTACTTATATAAATACTTACCTTAAAGTATTTTTACTGGTTACTTAGTATAGTTTTTCCGTATGTATGGTTCTAATCACTTCAATAAACACTCGAAGTCAGATACACTCATTCTAAAAAAGTTATAAAACTTATTTTCGTCTAATAGCAACTCCCGATATTCTAAAAAAAAACTGTCCATCACTATTTTTTAATGAAATTAAGGGACAGATCCAATACCGTCTTGTGATTTCGGCTGTGACGTAGTAATAAGAGCAATGCCAGATGTCTTTTCCGATCCATGGTTTCTATAGACTGATGCGATGTTTTTATAAAATGCTTACCGCAACTGTGCGTCGCCGCTGCGACGTCGGAACGTTATTACTGCATCATAGTGACGCTGCGGTAACGCAGCGCCTGTGTGGCCGGCTATGCGTCAAAATATTTGCGTTGCGTCCACGCAACGCGCCATGTAGACTGGCTCTTAGACCTAGCGTTTAGCCCTTAAATGAAATTAAAGAATTAAGTGATGTGGTAAGTGGTGTGAGGTGAGGCAAAAGCTTAGTGAAAATCTACTTTCAGAAGTAGTGACGCCTCAAGTACTGGAAGAGAGGACACGGCACAATGCCAGTACCGCGGAGTCGACTGAGCCTCCGCCCAGCACATGCTGGAAGACTTCCCCACGTGGGCGTCTGAACGCGAGGTCCTGGTCAACCAAATCGAACGAGACCTGTCCCCGCCAACATTGATGCAACCTGTATTTAACTAGAAAGAAATGAAATTGTTTAGAGAGAGACATGCTTCAGCGCTAAAATCAGTCTGGTTGTGCCGGCTGCGTGTGATACCACGGCCTCGAAGAAAAACGATATTAAGCAGTTATTTCAGTGATTTTCACTGAGCGAGTGTGTTTACCGGAGCCCATACCAAGGGGGTTTTAGATAACTCAACCGACGGCAATGCACTTGTGACTCTGGAGTGTCCATGGGCAGCGATAGTCATTTAACATCAGGTAACCTGTCTGCTCGTTTGTCCCCATTCAATAAAAAAAAGGATACATTCTGCTACTAACCCGTTACTGAAATGTGGTGGAATATGATGGAATCTATTACTTAGGTATAGCAATAACACACACAGTCTCAGCTAGCCAGCAACCTCAGCCAGCAGCTCAGCCTATACACAATTCATAATTTTTACTACTACTGACAAGCCAAGGCGTATTTTCATTGTGTTGTTTCATAAGTAATTGAAGAAACGTAGTTTTGATTGTTCTCATTTCTTTGGTCATAGAGTACCATCTAAAACGTTTGACTGATCTCGAAATCTGGTCATGATAGCATGACCAGGCAAACTGCAAAAAAGACTATTCTTATCTCTGTTAAGTTTCCCCTTGAAGCTGAGAACTTTATTGAAGTTAATACTATTACTTCTATTATGATCGCTAGATAAAACATATAAATTTTGTATCAGTTTAAAAATTCTACCAGAGATTGCAATATTTTCATAAAATAGTTAACGACGCGCCGCATTAAATTAAAATTACTTTGTACCTCCCTTTTTGACATTTATTGTTTCGTAATGGTTCCAGACACATTGTAAATCTTGGCAAATTCATCCTCATTAAGTAAGACAGCAGTCGGCACCTAAGATAAAGAGGTCGTCACTGCTGGGTACAGTGCAATGGGGACTAGCCACTAAGAGAAAAACACTCACTTAGATATATTATTTTATTTATTAGTTCAGTGTTGCAAGTCAAAACTTTGGCATGTCGCGTTATTTCTTGGTGTTGGTACTAATTATATTTATCATTGTCGACATTGACAGATTGACATAGTTTGATTTAAAACAATGTAAAAAATAAATAACCAATATGTAATAATACAAGATGTGAAATAAACTAAAAATATCATAACAGTGTTCCTACCTGCTTGAAAACTATTTGTATAAAATGGAAGAAGAAATTAGATGTTTTGTTTGTAAGGAATTTTACAGGGAACCCGTACTATTACCTTGCGGGCATGCATTGTGTAGAGTATGTGCAGTAAACTTACAGACCCCTGTTCATGAAACAGATAGTACAGCAACATCTAATGACTACCAAGAGGCAGACAAAGCTTCAGTTTCTAGCGAAACAGACAGCGGAGTAGTATGTGGATCAAGGCCAAATAGTTACGCAGGAACTCCGGCTGTACCCGCGTACTCTACCGCAGCCTTCACAATAACATGTCCATCATGCAGTAAATTAATGTATTTGGACGACAATGGAGCGGAAGGTCTGCCGCCGTTTCGGGTTATGCGAACTATTGTGGAACGATTTGGGGGTGTCTCTGGCTCGCCACCAGCCGAGGAAGCTTGTCAAATGTGTGAAGGGGAACGTCGTGCAGCTGTAGTTCGATGCGAACAATGTTCCGTACGCTACTGTGCTGGATGCCGTGATGCCTGGCACCCCATTAGAGGACCACTAGCACAACATGAACTGAGAGCTCTGGGCACTACATGTACTGATCATGGATCACCACCTGTTCTCTATTGTAATACATGTTTAGTCCCAATTTGCCAACGCTGCCTCACAGAAAGACATTCCACACATGAGACTCAAGCATTGTCCATAGCTTCCAGAGCTCATAAGGTATTTATTTTATTAAATGGTGTAATGAAGAGAGCAGCAGATTTTTCTAATTACTTATTAGAAAAATCTAACTTCCTTTCAAATAATAATTATGTTCTATTCTCATTCAAATATGATTTATTTCAGGCAAAAGTAGAATGGTAAAGGAATTTATTGAAACAGTTCTAAAATATAATACTTTAGTATGACATCTATGTGTGTATGAAGTTTGTAAAAACAGAGTATACCATTACATTATGACTGAATGTACTACATTATGGTGATGGAAAACACTAGCAAATTACTAACTATTTAATTATTTCAGACTGAACTATCACAATCACTGCAACATCTATCAGAACAAGCCAAAGCCATGACAGAGTATATACAATTAGTCAAAGGGTCGGGTGACAAAATTAATGTAAGTATTGCGTAAATTTACCCATTATTATAAACATTGATGTTATCATCTAATAATAAAACTAATTTAATAGGAATCATGTGAGGAATTGGAAAAACAAATAGATCAAGCCTGTACTGAAGTGACCCGTGCCATAGATCGCAGACGTGATGAGTTAATACGTGCTGCCCGTAACACTAGAATGCAAGCTATAACCAATATGCGTTCCCTAACCTCACATGCTGCGCAGAAATTAAGAGAAGCAACAGCCTTATTGCATTTCTCCATCGAAGCTCTTAAAGAATCAGATCATGCAGCTTTCTTACAGGTAAAATATTAAAATTATAGTAATTATAGTTACACTAACAATTGTAAGGTTTCTTAAGTTAAAATTTATAATATTGAAAAAAGAATTAATATAGTTATGCATATTTCAAATCATTGAAGTCCAAGGCCAACCTAATGCATATGAACTAGCATGTGCAGTGTGTGCTGTTTATTTGTATAACAACAATATAACTGTATTTATTTATTGAAAGCAATATGATCATACAGAAAAAAGAAACTGCACCTGTTTGAGGTCAATGAACAAGAACTATTTTCTACTAGCTGTACCATGCCACACTTCGCTGTGACACATTGTGGTTGCATAGATAAGAAATGAGGAACAACACTAACGCGAAAAATAGATAAAAACTTTAAAGAAGTTTGTAAATCATGTCCAAATTTGAGTTCAATCAGTGCTGAAATTCTGGCGTTTTTTTTTAGGGAAACTAACTTAACATTTTTATATAAATACAGGGTTACTGGGTAGGTGGACCTAGATACTTTAAGGCATTCTAGTTGCCATCATTTCTCAAAGATTTCATAGTGACCTAACCTAACCATTTTCAAGATATTGGACTTTTAAGATTTTTATAAAAATCTTAAAAGTCCAATATCTGTATAAGATGAATAGTACCAGTAGTTGCGGAACAAATGTGTGTATATCCATGCTCACTCATTGGTCAAATCACATAAAATAAAACATTTATTTTATTTTAGTAATATTGGGGTAATTTGAATTAAGATTGCGGGACTGGCCCATGCCATATATATGTATTATGTTATGTTTATAAAACTGGCTTCACTTCATATACTCATTAAATATAGTGTAGAGGTAAGGAGCACCATCTCATGTGGGGTAGAATTGAAAAGGTATCCAGCTGTATACTGTAAATAGAGGTTCCTGGCATACGAAAAACTATGATATGAACATAGCTTTTGTAGGCGGAATAAAGTGGGCTGTGTTAAAATATTATATATACTACTATTACAGTTTATTTATTGTTTGTAAAACTCGTTGTCTATTTTTGCAGTCTAGTACACAGTGTCTAATTATTATTCAAGCCAATATAAATTTATCCAAGGCTATTGCAGCCCCACCCTTATTGGACGCGTTTCTATGGACTCTTTTTATAAGTTCAAAGATTAAAAGTAGCAATTATAAGATTAAAAGCACTTGAAAAATTATTAATTGATGAAACTGGAAAAAACCAATTCTTCAATAATGAATTTAATCTGAATGTAAACAATAAATTCATCACATCAAATGCTGAGGTCACACACACTGCCACAGTTAAGAACTTTTTTACCAATATTCCTGTATCAACTACTAAATCTCTGAACTCCTCACCATGCCTTGCTGAAGCAATCTTAAAAGATGATGTTGCTAGGCTTGATAGTGAATTTAAGTTTCAATATGTTTCACCCCTTGATATTATTAAAGCCTTTAACACTATTAATGGTAAAAAAACAACTGACCTATGGAGAAATTCTGTATTAATTATATCTCTTGTGGCTCATCAGTTGTCATTTACATTTAATGAATGTGATGATAATGGTGTATTTCCTGATCTTATGAAGTCCAGTAAAATTATTCTCTTATTCAAATCTGGCAGTACATCTGACCCATCTAACTTTAGGCTTATTTCAGTACTACCAGTATATAGTAAAAATTTTGAAAAAATAATGTATGATCAATTACAATGTTGTTTTAATAATAATAATTTATTACACAATAGCCAATTTGGTTTTACTAGGGGTCGCTCCACAACTGATGATAGTGGGATATGCCCACGTGGCTGGGAGGATGCCCACGATTCTCTAGGTATCTTCTGCGATTTATCTAAAGCTTTTGATTGTGGTGTTCATGACGCTGATCAGGAAATTACAGCACTATGGTATAAAAACTAAACTTCTTGCTTCATATCTAACTAACAGGATTCAGAAAGTTGATATTAACCGTGAACGATCTGCGGGTTCTGTGGTAAAAATGGGCTTTCCACAAGGTTTTATTACTTATTAGGACTTACCTTATCTTGTCAAGGATAATCACAAGATTGTGATGTTTGCAGATGATACATCAATCTTATTTAGACTCAAACGCACGCTCACTAATTTCACAGGCGTAAACAGCGCCATTTCGAAAGTGGTTCGAAAGACGTTACGTTTGAACGAAAAAAAAACTAAGTGTATACGGTGCACTGGCTCACTGAAAACCACTGTGATGATTAAGGATGTCGAGCTTAACCTTGTGGATACAACGACATTTTTAGGAATAACATTAGATTCTAAGCTACAGTGGGTCCCACATGTAGTTAATTATCGAGTAGACTTAGCTCAGCAGGCAGTTAGAAAAATTCGAAAATTTATGAATATTGATACAGCACGACTTGTTTACATCAGTTATTTTCACAGCATAATGTCTTACCGTATTCTGCTGTGGGGGAATACTGCCGACATTCAAACTATTTTTGTGCTACAAAAGAGAGCGATTCGAGCATTTTATAATTTGGTCAATCGTTGTTCATTGAGGCAAAATTAAAAAAAAATTAACATAATGACAGTGGCAAGTCAAATCTAATATATGAAAATGTAATATATGTTAATAAAAACAAAGATAGCTTCTTGAAAAGAAGTAATGTACATGATTTTAATACCAGAAATAGAAATAAACTTGTTGTACTCTAGGCTCCAAAAGATAAACAAGTCATTTCGAGGTTAATGTATTCGACTCTATAATAAAATCCACAATAAAACGTAAACTAAGTCAGAAAGCCTATTACTCAATTGTGAATTGCATAGAAGACAAGAATGGTTGGGATTAATTTAGTACAGCCTATTTTGTAGTGGAAATGTGATATGGGCCGGTGTGTATTTTTTTAAATTTTCCATTTCTTTTGTATTTTACTTCACTTTCTTTTTTATTTCATCTTTTTTTTGGCATGGGGACAAACGAGCAGACGGGTTACCTGATGGTAAATAACTACCTTTGCCCATGGACACCTGCAACTCGAGAGTCACAAGTGCGTTGCCGTCTTTTGAGTTCCTCCCTAGAATCAGGGGGAGGGGTTTGGGTTCCAGTAACCTCACTCCCTCAGTGAAAAGCAAATGCTTTACACATATTTACCGAGTGAGGTAAATATGTCTAAAGCAATTGAGGTGAGGTGAGTGAGTACTCCAGTCGAGCTTGCCCAGTTCTGCTAAAGCATGAGTCTCCTACGGCACCATTACGCATGCTAATGTGATGTTTAAAACCACACTACAGGCTAGTGAAGTTCCTTAGAACTCCCTGTATGAAATTGATTATTAACCATTTTAGAATCATATTGGAACTTTCCATAGAAGTGTTGGTAAGGCACTGTGTAGCCCCAACTGGTATTTATTCCCAATCTACTGCGTGACCTTCTTCTTCATGACCAAGATATATGTTACTTTAATAGTTAATTTTAAATCTAAAGCTTAAACTAACTCAAATAATAATAATAATAATGATCATTGAACAATCACATCATCCATTCTTGCTTATTGAAACAGTAACACATAGGTTTTAATGTACAGTTTTTTTTTTGTAATTTCATATTGAGTACAGTATAATTATTGTTTAATTGTAATAAAGTTTTTATCTGATAAAATTGCTGTATTCTGTTTCAAAGAATAATCATTATGACACACCCCATTTACTGTGTATTTACTAACAAAACACATTTCATCAACCATGATTATTTCTATGTTTACAGTTGTGGACTACTAGCTAACAAACAAAAGTAAAGTTTAAGAATTTTGTTACTTGTTCTTTACACAAATAAATTCAGTATAAAGCTTTATAAAGTACTCATCATTGTAAACTGTTAGGTTGGAATTCAAAAATATTTATTGTATACAGCTCTAAGCATGTGTATCTTGTGGAGTCTTGTTCTGAATGTAATAAAACATTTAATTGTTATGTCAGGTGGGTAATATACTCTCGGTTCGTGCTCAAGAAACTGCATCAAGCCTTTGTTCATCTCTGGATTCGCCGCCCACAGCTCCTGCGCTAACTCTCGACATCGAACCTGTCATACGCACGGTCAGGAGTATGAATTTCATTGAATGCATACGTAAGTTCTAAAGTAAAACTTTGTGTACGAAGTTTCATCTAATCTCTTCAAAAAACATGTTGATATCACATAGTTATACATATTATGTGATTAATTTAGGCATTTTAAATGTACGGATTAAATTGTTATTTTCCAAAATTTTATTTTGCTTACATGGAAAATGCAGCTGCAGAGTGTGAAATGCAATCATCAGGTAAATTGAAAAAGATTTCGTGGCCTCTTTCATCGCATGATATAAACTATATAAGTATAATACTCGATACCTCTATTTTTCAAAAACTGTATTTACCCAATCAAGGTAAATTTCAATTCATTTGTTAGTATTCTCCTATTAAAGGTATCCACGATTAGAACAGCGTTCCTGAAAATCGCCTGGGGCGGCTCTCCCTTAAGTGTATTCGTGCACTGAACCACCAAATTTTAATAGATTTAGAAATCAACACAAAATGTTACGTTTTGAATTGACAGCCAAACTGTCAACTAAAACGCATAATTAAAAGTATGCAAGTTAATATGGTTTTTAAATAAATCTTTGTAGGCAAAATCGCTTGTGTCCAAGTTTTCTCAAAAAACACATCTTTTTTTATGTGGTCAGATTAAGAGCCCTTGAATTGATGGAATTGATGGAACTGAAAAGCCCATAAAATTATCTCTATTAAAAAATTCTGACATTTACCTACACACCTTTATTTATGTTTATACTAATATAGATGACTATAATACAAACCGTAGAGATATAAGCATAGAGTGAACACGGAGTACAACTGCCTGTGAGTGAAAGCGATAAAAGTAACGAGAAAGATGGATGTCCGATAGTTCCCTCTGTCTCTGTTTAGCTAAGCTGCGACTGCCTATATAATGGGCATGGTTTTGATTGTAGAACAGGCGGGGCATTAGAAAAAACCAGCCAACCACAGAGCTCGACTAGAAAGCGATAGAGGGAACTATTTAGCATCCATCTCTCTCGTTGCCTTTATTGCAGGATCGGGGCTCTTGTTTACTTGTAATATACTTATAACTCTATGAAAAAAACTGTTCTGTATTTTAGGAGTTAGTGTTTGTAGTGTGTAGTAGTTAGTGTATTCCGTGTGCCACACCCGAGCTCTGCCGACCTTGACCGAAACCTAAGGCGCGCGAAGCCGGCTATGTTAAATTGAAAAAAAAACATGCCTAATGTTTTTAAAAGGATATTTAAAATACTGACTGAAAAATACTGTACAAATAACCGTTAACCAAATTAAAATCCTAATATTTGTCTAGTGAATTTAGTACTCAACCAGTTCCACAACTCACAAGCCGGTACGGTGTATACTAATATGTGTGTCTCATTTAGCACCGGGAGCTCCTGAGATGGCAGTGGAGGCCTGCGCAGCGCGCGGGTGCTCGTGCACGCTTGCGTGGCGCGCGCCCGCCGCTCCTGCCTCTGTGCGGGGCTACGTGCTCGAACTTGATGACGGGCTTGGGGGACCGTTCAGGGTAACTTTCAAAAAATTACCTAATAAATAAAGAAGATAACATAGAAACTTCCCAGTATCGCCTAATGGAGTTGTAAACGATAAGTAATAGAAGTAAGTGTTGTATTTTCGTTTGTAGGAGGTGTATTGTGGCCGTGAAACTGTGTGTACCATTGATGGCTTGCACTACGCATCATTGTACAGCGCGCGGGTAAAAGCATTTAATGGCGCCGGTGAGGGACCCTACAGTGAAGTGATCGGTCTACAGACATCTCCTGGTAAATGTGCATTTTAAATACATACAATTATTTTAGAGTCCCTGAACAATTTGGAACCATTTTCATTTCTTTGTCCATCTGTCTGACTAAGTTAAGAATATTTTTTTCAGTAATGGGTAGAGGTATCAAGTTCAAATTAACAATACATCTAATACTCATTGTCTGAGGTCCAGTGAAGTTGTTAAAAACCCACGTAGTTAACCAGTATCAAAAACGATTATTTTTTAGTTATATCGATATTTTTAAACTTAAAAAAAAAAAAACGAGTTGAAATCTGATATTAACTCGCTTAATCATAATATATTTATATTACATATATCTGACCTATATAAAATAAAAAGTAAAATTTTATACAACAACATACATTAATAAAGGACAATGGCAGACATGTATGGGTCTTTTGTACCGCTTTGCGAATTTTATGGTAGAGATTATTGTTGTATTTATTTGACTGGTAATATCATCAACAATTAGAGTTTTCATTACCAGATATTTAGAAGTTTGCATTTAAAAGTTAATTCAGTTTGTGGTTTGCATATAAGCTGTACTGAGGGCTGAGTGCAAGTTTATTTCACATCGACTCGCTCTCGACGGCGACCGCGTTTAACGTTGCCATTGGAGGAGATTTCGGTCCGGGCCAATCGTAGCGCCGAACGCGGTCACCGTGACGATCGAGTAGAAGTGAATTAAACTCGCACTTGGCCCTCTGAAGTCAATTCCAATGACAGCGAGTTGTCACAAATGAGTTGTCATTGCTGTCAACAAGTTAACTTAGATATCTTTCAAAATCATTGGTTTTGTTTTTTTTTTTGATCTGTCAATGACATGATTGCCTGTCAAGTCAGTTAAATAAGTTACTTTTTTCATTGTGTTAACGATTAATCTAATCGATTTTAATAAAAGTTATTTACTAATAACTAAAAATCGATTAGATTAATCGTTCTTCTTTCCTTGAATTAACTTATTTGAAATAAAATAATTCCTTCATTACTTCGTCTAATCTGTACAGTCAACATTATTAATGAAAGAAAGAAGTGTTTGTTTTTAACTGTTATTTACACTAATATTTTTTTATCACTTATTCATTGATCTCGATGTAAAAATATCGGTTTTTTGTAATTTATATTTTATGCATGGCAAGTTTAGAAAACGTAATAATGCGTTTCGTTAACAACACTTGAAGGTTTTGTTATTGCAGTTATAACAATTCTTTAAGAAGAATATATTGATGATTACATGAAAATAGTTAGGATGATTCACTTTATAAACAATACAAATTATATAATCATCTATCATATATTACTAGAGGTACAGGATCTGCCGTTCTCCTTTAAAATTAATGAAAGACTAAAAAATATCGTGTAGCTATAATAGTTACACGACAACAGCGGCAATGACTTTCACCCTTTTTTTTCTGAGTAGGCCCTGCAGCTACTGATTGTGCTTTGGAAGTAGCAATATAGTCAATATTAATATTATCTTCGAATAAGAGTTGCTTGTATAAGGCCAGACGAAACAACGTATTCTTGTCCTCATTATTTTCTAGGAATTGATTATCAAAGAGAGTCACGAGGTCACGACTTATCGGAAGTTGATTGTCAAAGAGAGTCACGAGGTCACGACTTATCGGAAGTTGATGAATTCTCTATTATGCGATTCTCCGCATATTTTTCGCTTGTAATTGGACGTAGTTACACGAAAAGGATCCAACCCAAATGAAGCTAGTTTTGAGATATTTAACTTTAAGTTTACATTACATGATATCAATATAAAAAACTAGATTTAAATGAGATCAACATTGTTTATAACATATTAAACTGGAATCAAATCAAAACTCTGCATAGTCATTAATTTTAATGCTCATCTTCCTGACTTTCATTTTCAATCTGAAAATCAAGCTGACTGCTGAGTCCTTCAAGGTCATCCTCTATATTTTCATCCCCTTCTATCCCAGATCTCTTTCTGGAGCCCTCGCTGATCCCGAGCGTAGCCAGAGAGTGGGGACCTCTGGCTGCAGAATAATTGCTGCGGTATGCGATAGGATGGCAGCCGCAACATAATATAAGGATTGGCCGATAGGCGGGGGATGCTCGCAGCTTCCCCGGGATAGGGCCTGTCTAGGCGTCGATCCAGGAGAGACCTGAAATAACATGGTCCGGGTCCTAACCAAAGCAGGGTGCCTGAGACCGGCTGTCAGGGTGTTTTTTAGTGGAAACACCACATATTCCTGGATCCTGCGTCCCCGAGGAGCCGGAGATCCCTAGGGATTTCACTCTTCATAAAAATAATATACTCTTCTATCTTTAATGAAATCACTTTTGTTTCTAGCCAATTAGTTTTCTGCTTGTTTGTAAAAGTTTTTCTGTTTACTATATTTTTTTTCAATATTTTTTGAGCTCAGGAAGTCCTCTTTAACCATTGTTTTAACTTCGAGCGGATTCTTTCTTTTAGAGCTCCTATTGACTTGCATATACTCTTCGGCAGTGTAAATTCGTTGATGAAATTTTTATTGGCTTTAAATTTTGGAAAAGCCAGTATTATTGGGCAGGAAAGTATGACTTGATTCTAGCCATTTGAAATCTATTGTCCTCAACATCATTACGATTTTTAAATTGCAGTTTAGTCCGTCCGCCAAAGCAAACACTCCATAACACTTAAGTGATTAACATTTGGGTAAAGTTTGTTCTTTATAAAATTGATCAAACATGACATGATAACTACGTCCAATGCCACTTGTACAACAATCGTATTCTCAGTAAAACTGACCCCACACAAACATTTGTAAAGAAGCCAAAATTATTCAATTCTGAGTATTAAAATTTTCTAATTAACCTACTAGTATAGCATTTCCTTTCCTATTAATTTATTTATGAAAAAGTGGGTTACATCAGATATTAGCTAGAATTAAAATTAGTATATTCAAACTGGAGGTAATCCAGAATCATTACCTCACCCGCGAAATACAACAAGTATGTCGTGACGTATCAAAGTGACTAAAAACGGGACGTTTTTCCGCCACAAGTTAGTCTATTGAATGAAAGAGACTGGGGACCCTATAAAGCAATTATTTGTAAAGACAGCTCCCAGGGAATAGGGAAAATTATACACATCATCATAATCAACAGCCTTTAACAGTCCACTGCTGGACATAGGCCTCTCCTTAGAAAGGAGGTTTAGGCCAAAATCTCCTTTCTAATGATACACAACATGTAAATAAATTTAATTACATTTATTTATCGTATCGATTAATTACATGGTATTTGTTTCTTCTTGTAATCACTTACCACCTCTTTGACAGTGTATTATGCTGTCACCGTATTAGTTAAAAACTTTGTCTGATGATAAAACTAACTAGTAAGTTATCGGTTTACAGTGGCATGGTTTTCCTGGGACGCGCGTTGCGCCGACGCAGAGGGTGGGGTGACTCTGAGCGCGGACGGGCTGAGCGCGTCCGCCGGTGGGTGGCAGCCGCGCGTCGCGCTCGCTGACCAGCCTCTTGCACGGGGCCTCCACTACTGGCGGTTACGTATCGATAGGTATGATGGAGACGCTGACCCGGCCTTCGGAGTGGCAAGAGCTGACGTTGCCAGGGATAAGATGCTCGGTTAGTACAAGTTGACGTTATTAATGTTAACGATTTTCACCACTTTAAGCAAGGTAATGGTAGCAGCATACACTTTTAAAATGTTTCATCAGTAGTACCGTTGAATTTCGTTTAAATAACTTAAAAAAAAAATGAACCGGGTAAGTTAAAAAATAGATTTCATATCACACCTAATCGGTCATAAAAAAAATAGGAATATGTCGATGTACAAACTCTATACGAATACTGTCAAGTCCGCCTCTTTGTCACTGTAATGCATTGTTGTTTTGTTTGTCGTTGTGTTTTATTCGGAACGCCCTGCCCTTATTTAAGTATGTAGATCGAATCGATGCGAGGTTGAATAACCTGAAGGTGGGCCTGGCCGTTCACTGTATATATAAAGTGGATTAATTATATAAAGAGATCGCCGCGCGTCGGCCGGTCGGTATGAAACGAAATAATCGGCACATCGGCACTCGTGTAGTACGTACAGTATAATAGCGGTGATCGTCCGACGCAGGCAGCGACGCGCTGGGCTGGGCGATGTACATCGACGGCTCGCGCTCGTGGTTCGTGCACGGCGGCGCGCACGGCGGGCGCGCGGGCGGCGGCATCGCGCGCGGCGCGGCCGTGGGCGTGCTGCTCGACCTCACGCGCGGCACGCTGCGCTTCACCGTCGACGACCGCCCGCAGGTACACCTACCTGCACGCTACCTTCGAACGGATACAGGCCCGAGAGGCAGCGCACAGTGTTCCGTGTGCGCTTCTATAGGTTGCGACCGAAGGGTGACGGTCGCAGTCCCCGTCTCGGTTGTCGCTCCCCCGGCCATAGGCAAGGAGAGAGACACCGAGGTGATTTTTAGTCGGTAAGAGTCCGACAGACCCCTTCGCCATTGTGGGGGCACTGAGCGAAGGACATTCATGAGGATCTTCCATCCCTTTAACAAAAAAAAAGAACGACGTCATACACTAAATATCTGTTAAACTCAAATAATGAAATTCGAACTTTTTCCTCTGGTGCAACGTACACTAAACAAAACTATCTGTACTGTCTCATTATTAAAATTTTCTATTATTACAGCAAAAGCTTTCAAATACGATATGTGTGTGGATTTATAATAATGAAAAATAAATATGCCCAAATATGTGTTACAATTAAATGTTAAACTTAAAGATAGACGCCTAGATAAGTCTTCAAGTCAATGCTTATTGTCCATGATGCCTAAAAATTAAGTAAGTTATTAAAAGAAGAGTAATAATAAAAATCCTTATATTAAATATATATATTCAATTGTTAGTAATATATTAAATTGATACAAAATATTCTGTATATATAATGAAGTAAAGACATATGTTCCAGGGAGACATAGCCTTCACGGGTCTCCGCGGCGCGTTCTACCCCGCCGTGTCGCTGAACCGCGGCGTGGCCGTGACGCTGCAGACGGGCCTGGCGCCGCCGCCCGACCTACTCATGTCACAGCTCTCCATCGAGTGAATCTGCTGTTCACATCACATCATCATCATCACATCAACAGCCTTTAATAGTCCACTGCTGGACATAAGCCTCTCCTTAGAAAGGAGGTTTTGGCCTACTATGCTGCTGTTCGTCGACCGCTATTTGTTTGTTTTATGTTCCTTCTCCGGTGTGTACTTGTTTGATTTGACATAGTCTTCCTTGTGGGAGAGCCATGCTTCGGCACACATGGGACTGCTCGACCGGAGTAATAAACCTCAAAATAGGCTCAGAAAACCTGTGTCAAGCAATAATTTCGCTGTTTTTCCTGAGCGAGTGAGGTAATCGAAGACTACTCTGCCCCCCAATTATAGGGGGTGGGGACCACAGGGCGGCGACGCTTTTTTGACTTTTGAGTGGCAGGTATCCTTGGACAGCGATAGTCACTAACTATCAGGTGATTCGTGTGCTTGTTTGCCCCTAATCCCTTAAAAACTTATTTCGACGAAAGAAATGTTTTTAAAAACCTCGTTCATATGATACAGACAATCTGTTTTTTCAAAAGACTCCTTCATATTTTTGAGTTGGATTTGTATACGTCCGTATGCGCAGCACTGCACAAATATGCAATAATGCCTTCCACATACGTATATGGAGTTTACTTTTATAATAGAGATTAAACTCTTGCAGTAACGGTGTTACTTGAATAATAAAAATTAAAAAACAATGTTGCTCAGCGAGACTGAGTCAAGATAAAAAATAAAATACATTCAATTGAAATAATTTTCCACAAAAAAAAACTATAAAAGCATAAAGCAACTATATCATCTTATTTATGAGATGTTTTATTTTTTTGCAGTAAATTGCCAAACTTTGAAAATACTGCTGAAATGCACAATAAATGAAAAGCTCAAGCTTTTGTACTGTTTAGTGAGGTGTAATAACAACATTAAAAAGGCCTTTAAGTACCTTTATGAATTAATAAACTTTTTATTGATTTACTAAATCTGTAATTCAATTCATAAAATAATTAATTACTGAAAAGTCTAAAATTACTTGGTAGCTTAATTTATTGAAAATTAACCTTAACGTCGCATGAGTCACATATTGTATACTTATGATAGCGGATGTTCTTATAATCCTATGCGTTATGTTTAATAACAATACGCAATAGGATGCCTATCGAATTTACAATATTATTGTTAATATATACCTATTTTGTAATGGCTCCTGTAGTTTTAAGATGTGTTTTAAAGTTAAATATAATATTATATATCCATGTCCTAATTAGATAGGATCTAAAATAATATTGTGTGAGTTTGTCTTACTTGGACTGTTTATTTCGAAACGATATGCCATAGAAAGCTATTAATTACTTATATGACAATTAAGAAAAGGCACTTGTACTTAAGAAATATAATTGATCTCTTGGAAACTTTATAATGAAATTACAAAGAACAATAATATTTTTCAAAATATGAATTAAGCATGACATAAATGTAAGTTAAGTGTCTTTGGATATTTACTTTTAAATGAATAAAGTTGTTAAAATAACATTTTATATCGGGGGACCTGAAGAGTAACTAAAATATTCCATAACCCACCAGAATGCTCTGTCAGTCGAATGTTAGAATGTAAGACAGCTACTTTTACTATTTAATTTTATTTAAACGTGTGCTTTTATTTGTTAAGTCATTTACAGTGTTATTTCTTTTAGTACGTAATAATAATATAATTATAATTCAATCTTTATTTATGTTACATTAAATTAATATTTTACATATCAAAGTGTCTTAGATATGAATGTCTGTTGTTTATATCTAAGTTATTTTGTTTGAATACTGTACACATATCTTGTAGAGATAAACAAAAGTTAACCGCTAAGCGATGAAAACGTGACCCGATATTAATTACAATGTACCAAAATTCTATTTTCTTTGGTTAGTGAAAATGCAAAAAAGATGGGCGCTTAAATGAATGATGAGCTTGCCTGTCAATTCACGAAATGCCGAACCATAATGAAGAACTCCCAAAATAATGAAATCGTTTTCAGAAATTTGTCAGAAGTAAACCGGTAAGAAAATAAATATAGGAAGGAGGTTTAAGCTGAACGGTACTGAACTTAGAATGCGTCTGGCGCTCACTGCTAATTTAAACATCCTACGCTGCGGTGTTTAGACTTGAGAGTGTAATGTGTTGCACTGTCAAGTCTTGTAAATTTTTTAGCAACCTTTATTAATATAACCACAGAACAGTTAGAGAAGATTAGAAAGGGAAGAGTTCCTGATTTGTACTCTACTACAAATCTAACGCGTGTCGCCGTTTGACTCCCACTCTTTAATTCCACTATAAGCAAGAACCAATACATACGCGCATTACACAAACAAATAAACCAACACACTTGGATCCCGATTTTGCCAATGATTCTCACACAATGCAAATGCATTGACTTGGCGGACACTTACACACGCTCAAAAGTATGTATTTCTCATACATCTTATGGCGACCGAAAGATCAATTATTGATATTGATACAATTACTGTAAATTTAATACTTTAAGTTTCCCATGCATTGCGTTACATAAATTGGGAGCGTTATATATATGAACAAGATGCCTTTTTACTGCTTCTATCCATTTTGCTCGATATGGGTCCATTGATTTGTAGGCAGCCATAAGTGCAGTAAGAGGCCCCAAAGTTTGTGCCATTGCGGATCTCCTCTCCGGCTTGTAAGTAGAACCTTCTAAAAGCACGTGATGTGCAGGTGTAAGGCCGTATTGTGATACATCAACATAGTCTGTTGTGTTTCCACGCTTTCCGACTGGTATTTTTGACACGCCTACTCTTATCTCGTCATATCTCATCTTAAACGCAGAGAAAATGTTAAACAAAGCATTGGCGTTGCAACACCATTGATAGATGTGCAGACGATTAGAGGGAGTGTACTCTAATCCCAACGCTGAGGCCTTCCCCTTCATGATTGTAGTAACTTTCTCATAAAATAGGTTGTGACAAAAGCCTTTTTTTTCCGTGCGGAAATCCCCTCGGATACCACCTATCGGTGGCATGTCGGACTCGAACCGACTAAAACCGCACACCGTCTCGGGTACTAATAGCCGGGGAACCAGGTATACCCTAGAAAGGAAGTCCCTGGTGCTGTGACAAAAGCCCCAAATTGTAATGCTTGTTGTGAGAGACATGTTCGGGTGACTGCTTAGCCGGCAATTGGCACTGTTTCTCAAGATTTTATGAACCCCTTGCATTATGCTCATGATCTGATGGTTGAAAGTGATGTTGTTTATTTGATCACAGAGTCCAAGCGTCTCATATGTGTGAAATGCACTTTGTACAATTGACTTGATGATGATATTCTTTTTCCCTGCATCCTAGGGCGTTTTGGATCTCATATTTCCGTTTCAGTGTTATCGGCCTCTACTGTTCTTTTTCGGCTAACTTGGCCCGAAGGGTTATCTGTCTCCATTGATATTTGATGTTCTGATTGTTGCCAAGATTACTTTATTTCAAGAGTCTGTTTATACTGGATTAGTTAGAAACCTAAAAATAAAATTTAAAATGTATGTTTTCTTTACAAACGACGAAACCCCACTAAGAAACTAAATTAATAAAAACAACATTTACAAAAACAAAGATATTTTAATTCTAATAAAACTGATGATTTTTATTTGTATACATACTTAATATCAACATTGTTTACAACTAGGTATTACACTAGCGATTAGATTTCGCGGGATTCCAGCTTCCATTCCAGCAATGTATAATTGTGTATGTTTGAGATTGTGTCGTTTTTTGTCTACAGACTATATACTACTATTGTGATAATTACAAGTATCACTTGTATTTCAAGGTTTAGGACTCTACACACCTAGCTTCTTTTCCGACACGTTATAATAGCGCAAGACGGAATAATTCATTTTTTGAAGAGCACGACTGTTGGCCGGTGAAAATAATTTCGGTTGACATATGAGCGACGAGCGTTGATCATATGTGTGCCCCTCCACAAGGCCCTCTAACATCTTTTAACTGTTCCCGTTTATTTTAAAGAAATACGTTTTTCGTAGCTTGGCGGTTACTTACATATTGTTCGTTTCTTATTTATTGTGTAAACTGTTGTAATATAAATAGTTGCAATTAATATTAAAATGACGTAATTAATCATAGACGTACATATACGATGAATAAACAGTGCTATGACATCCATTACATACTTACTTAATTATACCGTGTACTTAATTATGACTGATTTTCATTAAAAACTTTTACTACGTATATATTTTTCTATCTTATTAGTTTTCGCAAAGCTATGCAGACATTATCATGTCTAAAAAATGATCAAATTATAAGAACAACCAAAACCTCTAATAACCATTTAAGGTTAAATAAAATAATTACGCTTATGGCATATATATTATATTTACTTAAAAATAATTAAATCAAAGTTTTAATCGACTGTTATGAAGTCGACGGCATTGAAGTCCCGCACGCATATGTAACATCTTAGAAATTTTGCGTATTTATTTCTCAACTTTTTGTTTTTATCATATTCGTAACCTTTTTTTTGCATCATTTAGGTTCATGTCATTAGCAGCACACTTTCTTTCAGCTCAATTTCTGTCATCATTTTAGTGAGGTATATGTAGTGTTATATAGGGTGTAACATTTTATTGTGATACATACAGGTGTAAGGGACGTCGTAACGAATACTGAAATAATGTATTAAAACCATCATGCTGAGTCGAGAATCATTGGAATTTTCTGCCGGAAAATTAAACGTTTAATTAAATCAGCTCTCAAAGGTCTTTCCCCGTAGATATCGCACAAAAGTAATAACTATATTTGTATTCCTTCCAAACAGTCTACACACACTGACACAAGATGACGGCCGGAGGGGAAGCCCCGCGCGTTTAGGCTTTTAGATTAATTAAATTGCAGGTTTTGACCGTTTGCGGTATTTATTTAATTACTTTCGGTAAAATGTTCTGTTTCCTCATTTTGATGTCTTTTTTCATAATTTTTAACCAAGAACATGGAAAAAAAAAGATGAATTTTTCGTCAGAAAATTCCAATGATTTTCGACTCGGAATGGTCGCCTGAATAGACTATTTCAGTATTCGTCACAATCACTAAAATATCTACCTACCGCATTTTGTCAATATTATGTATGACAGCTAGGGAGCGAATGAAGCGAATGCTTGTTAGATGCACCCTAATTTATAGTTACACACACACGTATTGTGATTTATTAAGCGACTTTAAAAAAAGGAATTGTTTTTGTGTGAACTTACCCGCCTGGTTTGCATATTAGATTATTTATTTACTTTAATTATAAATGTTACACCTATTCCAAGGCATATACAACAACAAAAAAAAAACAAAGATAAATATAAATCAAAACAAAATCATCAGTCCGCAAACAAATAACAGCCGGGAATGCCACGCAGGATAGCGTTGAGTGCAGAACATATAACATATACAATATTACTGCGATTAATAACTTGCGATAGGCTGATTTGAGACTTTTGAATCGTCTAGAAACTACTAGTCCCCGATTCGGGCTTTTTCGTGGCCACTTTGCGCTTGTAATAGGAGGGATCCGGGAACTGCTGTTATTAAGACATCCTGATCCCACCTAGCGCCTGCCCGCAACGGCGCGGGCACCACCTTCGGGTTCATTCCTTATTTAGACGACGACCGGCACACGCGGACGCCGCCTACTCGCGGCTGGCCGTTAAGGCGGGCGAAGGGGAAAACCCGATACGTTCACCCGCGTCCACACTCAGGGCGGCATGAGGCGGTGGTAAGCGCGCCATATCCCTCTATTAAACAATACTATAACATCAATCATCACATCAACAGCCTATACTAGTCCACTGCTGGACATAGGCCTCTCCTTAGAAAGGAGGTTTTGGCCTACTATACCACGCTGGCCAGACGGGTTGGTATAGGGTTTGTTCGGCCATGCCCCGCATTCGAGGTCGTCGGCCTCCAAGGAAGGAGGTCTACTGGTGGTCCCAGGAGCTGGCGGACCTCCGTGCGGCCTGTACACGTGCCCGGAGGTCCTACACGCGCAGTCGGCGGCGTCACCGTGGAGACGGTGAGGAGGACCGGCTTCATGAGGAGTACCGACGGGCGCGGAAAACTCTGAAGCTGGCCATTAGCCGCGCCAAAGAAGAAAAAAGACAGGAGATGCTGGAGGGTCTTAATCGTGACCCCTGGGGTCGCCCTTACCGCGCGGTGCGACAAAAGCTCCGCGCGTCGGGCCCCCCCCTTACGGAGACTCTCCAGCCCAGCTTCCTGCGAGAAGTGGTTGAGGGCCTTTTCCCGCAACGAGCGGAACACACTCCCCCGGCGATGGCCTCCCTGGCCGGAGACGACGGGGAGCACGGGGAGGACAATGTTCCGCCCGTCCGGGAATCGGAGGTAGGGGCGGCTGTTCTACGGATCCGTTCCAAGAACACCGCCCCTGGGCCAGACGGGGTACCGGCCCGAGTGCTGGCCCTGGCCCTCAACCACATGGCAGACCGCCTCGGGGAGGTGTTCGACGCTAGCTTGGCGTCGGGACGCTTCCCTGAGTGCTGGAACTCAAACTCAAACTCAAACTCAAACTTTCTTTATTTCATAAAATTTTCAAAATTGTTTGAAATCGTCTTCCATGTAGACTCTAAAGTCATAGATCAACACACACAAAAGCAACAATCTCTGTTTTGTCAAATAGTAACCAAATAAATTTAACAAAATCAAACCCATACAAAATCTATGATATGCCTGTGCCGATCTACAACCGCCCGTTTCCAAGGGGTTGAGCCTTATGAGAAGAAAGGGCAAACAAACTCATGGCCACTCTTTTGCAATTCACAAGTAGATACAATGGCACTATTAAATATATCACAACATTGTTTTGATGTGTGCTAGTATGTCCGTTATTAAGGACTTAAAGGTGAAAAAACAACGAAGAGAAAACAAGATTAAGAAGAACAAACGAATACAAGAGAAAATGAAGTGAAACATAAAAAATAGAAAAAATAATAAAAAACATACTAGCCACACCACATTTTTACTTAAGAAAGAAATAGCCTGCGCTAATTAATCCCAAGCATTCTTGTCCTCCATGTAATCCACAATCGAGTAGTAGGCCCTCTGGCACAAGCCACGTTTTATTGCGGATTTAAATTTGTTAATACTCAACTCCTGAATATTATTTGGGATTTTATTATAAAATCGGACACATTGACCTCGAAAAGACTTGTTTATCTTTTGGAGCCTAGAGGCGGGTACAACAAATTTATTTTTATATCTGGTATTTATGGCATGTACATCACTTTTTTTCAAAAAGCTATCTTTATTTTTGTGAACATATATTACATTTTCATAAATATATTGACTTGCCACTGTCATTATATTTATTTCTTTAAATTTCTGCCTCAATGAACAACGATTGCCTAAATTATAAAGTGCTCGAATAGCTCTCTTTTGCAGCACAAAAATAGTTTGAATGTCGGCAGCATTCCCCCACAGCAGAATACCGTACGACATTATGCTATGAAAGTAACTGAAGTAAACAAGTCGTGCTGTATCAACATCAGTCAACTCTCGGATTTTCCTTACTGCGTATGCTGCTGAGCTGAGTCTACTCGACAATTTATCAATATGTGGGCCCCACTGTAGCTTAGCATCTAGTGTTATACCTAGAAATGTCGTAGTGTCCACAAGGTCCAGCCCGACATCCTTAATTATCACAGTAGTTTTCACTGGCTTGACGTTTGGCATAGTGAAACGTATACACTTAGTTTTTTGTTCATTTAATAGTAAATTGTTGACATCAAACCAATGAACCACTTTCGAAATGGCGCTGTTTACAAATGTGAAATCAGAAAGTGTCCGTTTTAGTCTAAATAATAGTGATGTATCATCTGCAAACAACACAATCTCGAGATTGTCCTTGACAAAGTGAGGTAAGTCG